TGTCAGCGACTCTAATTTGCGAGCTCTTCATATTCTGTATGAAATTATGCTTGTTTTGTTTAATTTTGTCAAAATTCGAATGGGATTCTACTTGAACCATTTCTAACATAAAATGTTTAAAATCACCTTCACAAGTTTTTGGTTTGGTTGTACTCAGGGGCAGACGGAACCTGCTGAACCAGCGCGGGAAAAATTTAGACCAATGATCCTGAAAGCCCGAATGGGTAGTTTTTTAAATTTTACTTAATTTGAAATCGAATTCCGACATATGTGTCATGGTTACCGGCGCCTCTACAAAATTACCGATTTCCGGATGGTCCCATCCGCTCCTGATTGTACTCATATCACATATACTACGAGTATAACAGATGAATATATTCATTCATTCTATCAACAAGTTGCTTTGACAACCATGACAACTTTGCGCATTTCACCGAAACGGTTTTATTCCTACTTACTTTCTCAAAATGAAGAAACGAAAATATGGATTATTAATTAGTGGCCATAGCTACTAATTCAAATCCTACAACAAAACAACAAGAAATACAACAGGTACTTACTGATTTTATATTTATAATATTCTAACATATAACTTATGACATTTTCATCTGTCACGTAACAGAAGTCATCTTCGATTTCTTAGTGCACAATAACCAGACTTCGGCATCGCGGAAGTGATGTTCATTGCCGTCCGATCGCCGTCGCTATTGCAGTCGTGGTCTTCTTACTATTTTTTCTAGGTTTTCCTTAGTTATACGAGTTCTCCTAGATGTTAAAATACTTTAAAAATTAAAAATGACTGTTCAACATCACAATTTTCGTGATGATCTTGATCAGATAAACCTTGAATTGCATCAAACGCCACTGAGGTTGAGACTGCACAGTCAGCCAGCCAAATTTATCGCCTGACGTCGGGCCGTCGTATTTAATATTTATCTGATTGATTCCCCATTACTTCGGCTGTGCCTAACTCTGACAATAACCCTATGCGTTTACTTCATACAAATTTACAAAAACTGTCGACGCATTTCGCCGACCAAGTAACAAAATTAGTATTGGCCAGTCTAGATAATGCCCACGTAGTTGGCGAAAATCGCCGACAATTTTTGCAATTTTGAAATGTCGGTGACCAAGGGAAATAAACGTATGCTGTCATATAACATAAACAAAATTTTATATGGGTTGTGATCCTTGAAATTTGCTTATATTTTGCAAAAAGTTTAAGTACTATGTGATCTAAAAGTTTACAGGTAAAGGAAGGCAATAGAAATATTCTTTACTTCTTTGAGTAAACTTTACGCACCAAAATTCAAACTAAGTGGTCAAAGTATTTGTTTTCCGACTTATAAATGGTGGATGCCTTTAGTAAAGGAGCTAAAATTGCGAATGACGATTGTATGGCGCCTTTTAGTTCACTTTAAATTTGCTGTTTCAACATTAAACCGTTTGAATCCTGCTTTCCATTTTAATTTTAACATCTTCGATTTGTTAGCATTAAGCTTTGTAAAGTTTACCAGTTCAGTCAATGAAATGAAAAATATTTCCGTGGACTCCCTTTGCCTGAAAACTTGTGGATCTATCAAATTTTAACACTGATCTAAAAGTATTTACATTCAAAGCGATAAATGAAAACTGTAAACGAAGATTAATAGTAGCGAAAATTTCGACAATTATTTACGATGATCTGGAATCAAATTTCGTAACGTACTACTTTTAAACTTATAGTTACTATTGTGCTAAAATGGACTTATGGTCGCAAGTCGAGATTTTCTTCATTCATTTTTTTCGAAATGAATTTTCCAAAATAATCAAATGATTTTTATTGCATGCCTACTTTATTAACTTTTGTGTTTAAAGTTTAGAGTTACATGATATTTTCGAACCGAACTATAAAGCACAACGTCGATATTAAAGTATCTCATTAACCGCATAGTTTTTTCGTTATACAACATTTGTCATTAAAATGTAATTAAAACATTTAGACAAACTTCTGAACAATTAGTATGCCACAGCACGTATTAAACTTGGATTAACTGTAAAATGTAATTTATAACGAGAAACAAGACTGACAAGTAGGAAGTCATTTAAGTATCGAATATTGATTGAACTTGTAAACTTTAATACGTTGACTAACAACATGATCAAAAAAAGTCGTCTAGTAAGTCATGAAATTTATTTTTATAATAATGATGTTGTCATTGTAACTATTTAACACTTTATTTGACAGCATAATGCAACAAATTCAATTTTTTTTTGTTTGCATATTTTGATTTTTTGCTTTATTGCTTTCAAAATGTTGAAAAAAGTATTAATCCTAGGTTACAATAGTATACCTATTCGATTTCCAATTTAAGGTAATATTCTATTAAAGAAGGTAATTATAGGTAAATACATTAATAGATCTGCTTGATTTATAAAATTTTGTTCCAAAGTGATCCTTTAATACATTTTGCATAACATACTAAAAATAGCCTTTTCTGAACATAGTATCATTAGAAAATAATACTAAAAAGTGCCGTTTGGATCTATTTTGGCCCTTGTGCGTAATGTTGCTTTCTCTTAGAAGACTCCAAATGTAATTAGCTTCACTGAACTTTGTTTCTAGTGAAATCGGATGACTTATCGGTTTTGAAGCAATATACCGGGTGTCTGAAAAATGGCGAATTAATTCTTCGCTACACCCTTAACAATCAACTGATGAGTCTTGAAAAAATGTAAAAGAAATTCCTTCTTACATTTTGGTGGAATTATAATGATCTTAATGTAGGTTCTCTTGCTACGTTTAATTGCTAATTAACGCGTCATCCATTAGCATGTTTAATTAGTGATTCAGTTGGAATGTACAAAGTTATGATTGTCTTATTTTCGTAATAATTTCATAAAATTCCATTTAACAATCATGTTTACCTATACACCGCTCCCAAATTGACTTTTATAAAAATATGATTTTTTTTTAACTACATTGTAAGGAATGTTTTTATTTGGGAGGAGGGACGCAGACTCCCGTACATAACGAACTGAAGAGTTGATCTGTCATTTTCCAGACACCCGGTAAAAACCGCAAACATAACAAAAACTATTGTTTGAGTGCTTACACCTGCATTTACGGTTCGCTGTTCACGAAAATCATAAAAAAATGAAATGGGTGAAACTTTGACAAGAGAGTGAAATAAAATACGCCTCTATCATTTTAATCATAGCCTCCTACGTTCTATTAAAAAAAATTACAATAAAAACTCTTGCTGCATTGTGTAGTTATTGGACAGTAACTATCAAACTGAATAAAGAACGCTTTGCTATTGCCAACATAATATTTTTAACATTAAATTTCAAAGATTACTAGGTGACTTTTTTATTTGATCATATGGTACAATGTGTGAGGTCAATTTTAAATATACTAAATTTATCTACTATCATTCAACCATATTTAAAATTAATAAACATCGAAATCCAATATGTGTATATGTTACAGTTAAAACGTGTTTTCTCTACTTAAAACTAGTTGAAATGCCTTTGTTACAACTAGAATTTACTGCTTTCAACAGTTAAAACTAGTTCTGACCAGACAAGATAGTAGTGCCATGGCGACAATGGGCCCGAACTTAAAGTAACTGAAATAAAAACTAGTTTTGACTAAAGAAAACGCGTTTTAACTGAAAACGGTTTTAACTGGAACATATACATATAAACCAAGTCAGATTTCTTGTTATTTGCAAAAATGTTAGCTACATACATTACAACACATCGGAATACTAAGAACGATTTTGGTACAGTGTTCCACATGAACCTTGGGCACTTTTTTTAAAGCAAGACCGATCGAAATTATAAAGTTTAGTAAGCATTTCATTATTAAAATAGTTAAGTTAATTTACATATGACGTTTTCAAGCGTGTGGCAGTAATCATCGGGGGGAACAGTTAACCACCCTTTCACTAGCTAAACTGAAAAAATGTATACTAATTTTGTTGTTCCCAAACACCGATATTATTTCCCTTAGTTCAACTGCTCTGCGACTAACCCGAGGGAAGAAATCTTGTTTAGGCAGATTTGTAAGTACGAACATGCATGAACAAAATTAATGTCCCCACCCGTTGAACACTATCGTGCAAACATGGTTAAGAATACCAAAAATAATAAATCCACCAATTAAAGAACACCTCAATGAGAAAACATGGGATAGATGTAGCGCAAAACGGGCACTTGCTTCTCAACATTTTTGAACTGATTGTTAACAAAAAGAAGACAATATAAGCAAATATTATGTAAATCCTATAGAAACAGTTAATGTGATTTTCTTTACTAAAAATTGCACAATCATCCTGATTTTTCCACAAATGAAAGGATGTTTGCGCAAATTTTGCAACTGTGTTAGTAGAATCACTGTGTCGGTGTCAGCTGGGACAGGTGTCCAATCTAGGTGCTCTCCATGTATACAGTGCCCATTAAAGTGATAAAACATAAAAGATTGTGTTTAAAACAGCCCTTCCCTTAAAATGTCGCTGAGGACTTCGCGGGACTACAATATAGGTACGCGAATACCCGCTATCTGTCCCAACTGGCACGAATCTTTGCTCTATCACTACTCCTCTCGTCTGATGCTTGCTTAGTTTGTAGCAAAAGACTTTCCTGGAGAACAGCACAGACGTCCGATTGCCTGTATTGTTTTCCAATTTAATGTTAGCTTTATCAGTGTGCTGGTTGTAAGACGTAAAATTACTGTTCAGATATGTGGAATGCTTTATTGTATCTCTCCAAGCATGATTCTAACGCTTGTAAATCATTAATGTAATTTCTGTTTCAACACTCGTCAGCTCTTCTAACGCAGTTTAAACAAAGACGCCACAATATTCTAAAACAACGATATTTGCACGAATTTTCCATATCTTACTGATGAAAACAGACCCGACGAATACTGATATTATCACAGAATCTCAACTAATCCATATTGCTATTTACAGTAAAACGAGAAAATTACTTAATTTTGACGCCATGGTTTTCAGGAACAACTCGCAAGAGAACGGGCCGTATCAGGAAGAATACAAATTCAGGTCTGGTATCATGATGAAAGAAAAGAATTGGTGGTCGCAGTCTTGGCAGCAGATGATTTGGCCCCACGAGACGAAAGTCTCGGTTTTGGATCACTTCCCGAAGCTTACGCTCGCCTATGTTTAATGCCTTTAACGTGAGTAGAATTAACGTACGCAATAAGAGGGTTTACGTTCGAAATGGCGGTCTTTCAAAACTCTTTTATGCCAAACCTTTTTTCATTGTTTTTTTAAACAAGCCGATCGTTCTGCTGATATATAAATTTAAGTAATGTGCAGATAAAATATAAAATATAATATCTGCAGAAGCTACAGTTTCTGTATGTACACGAACACAAAATAAATTTGAAACGTAACAAGTTTAAACATCCATTTCACACACAATAATGGAAAAACGGGTTATTATTTTAACAGCTAAACAGAGATAAATATAATGTCAAATACGCGTACAAAAAAAATAAATTAATAAAAAGTTTAGATTTTCTTCTAGTCCCTGTATATAATTTTTGACACTTCTATTGAAACATCATTTGCTGATCGTAAATTTGGCAATAAACAAATTTCTAATGAATCACCGTTCTCAGTCAACCTAAAGTTGCTCTCAATTGCTAAATTTTAAGCAAAATCAACAGGTGGTGTCCAGTAGAAATGGGAAAGACAATATATTGTTTCTAAGATATATTTTCAATTATAATATAACAAGTGATATGATTATTATCGATAATATTTCGAGTGAAACCGAGCTGCAGATTCAACGAGTGCGAAGCACGAGTTGAATGTGCTGCTTCGGTTTCACGAGCCATATCTTCGATTATTAATCATATCACGAGTTATATTCAACATGAGAATATAATAAATGAACACATTTTTTGATAATAGAATTGATTTCGTCGTTTTGAGCTTGCCCCCAACGTTGGCAAGCCATAAAAGACAAAAAAAATTATGAAATTCTAAAATTTGTCAATTTGACAGTTTTTAAATTTAGGTAGCAACAGACCACAATAAGGCAATAAAATTATTATCGCTGTGATAGACATGTAACTAAGGGCTTGAACAAATTCTATTGGAAGAAATGGGGTCATGTGATACATGAATTATATTCTCAAAATAAGAAATTTTTGTACATATTAATCGTTCACAATTGTTTCAAATTCGCATAATCAATGAAAACCTAAAATTTTAAAAATCTATTTTAATCAGTGCATACATTTAAACCTTAAGTGAAACGAAGAATAAATATGTTTATACTGCAGTTCTCGATTTAGAACTATCTCGATCGAAAGAAATTAACAAATTTTAAACTAAATGGTTGTCCTAAATGTTAAGTTTCTGAATGTGAATCATCAAAATCTGATCCTGAAGCAGAATTTCCCATTGAAATAATGAGTGGAGTGACACATGAGCAACCGAAAAATTATCCGTTTGTTTCTTCCAATCTGAAGCAATTAATTATTGAGAGTGTTTACAATAATTTTGCTACAATTCGGATATACAATTCCGACCATAAATTGACAATTTTATTTCTTACGCCATGGTTGCTCATTTATATGTTTGTGATTTAAAATTTTATCTATAACATTTTGGTTTATTTTTTTTTTTTATATATTCCCACAACTGATTTTTAGCTAAATTTTGATTAAATTGTAATTTTTCCAACTACATTGGGTGATATGGTGCATTGTCCATTATCACAATACATACACCGACTGTCTGGAAAATGGCGCGTTAACTCTCCGCTACGCTCTTAACAATCATCTGGTGAGTCCGGGAAAAATAGTTAAAAAAATCCTTCTCACATTTTGGTGGAGTTATACCGGTTTTGAAATTCGTTCTTTTGCTACGTTTAACAACTAAACAACAAATTCCTTATCGCAATAACTAGTAATAAAACTTTTAGTTAATATTTCTTTCGCCCATGACCATATTTAACTACCATTTGACCATTTGGTATGTCATTTACCAAAATCGATCTTATTTTAACAGGTACTAACCCCGTCTACCCGCCCTCTCTTTTCTTAGAAGGTATCTCATTTGGCAAAATCAGTCTTATCTTACCAGGTACTAGCCCCGCCCACCCACCCTCTCTTTTCTTGGAGGGTATGTTATTTGCCAAAATCAGTTTTATTTTAGCAAATAATGATGACTCGCTTTTATAAAACGTGGTCAACATTTGGAAACATTACGAGCTTACTTATATGCACAAGGCAGAAATTTTTAACTTCTCTAGTGTTTAATTGGTTACGCTTTAATGGATTTTTCTTTTGTTGGTTTTGTTTTTGTTTATAATTTCTGAAAGTCTTATTAAATGTTTTTTTGGTTTATTTATTAATGAAAAATAACAACTTGTTTTATTACCGAGAGATCGAAAAACAAATTAGTCAAAGTTGGCCATGCACGAAAAGCCGTTTGTCTTAGTTTAAAATAATGTTTTATTATACGTCACGTTGACAAAAGTAATTTGCAATGTTATCAAACGAAATTAAAGCTTTTTTGTTAGAATCTTACTTGTAAGACAATTGGAAACCATTACACCTGAAATGCTTGTCCGGGTTTCTGCAAATATGAAACGACGCCTCCGTTTATGTTTAGAAAACGATGGACATTTTCAACAGCTTCTACAAATAAATGGTTTTGTTTGTTGTCGATTTTGATTCATTTTTATGTGTTTTAAAAGTAGGTGTCATAATTCTAATTTTTAACTGTCAATTTGACATTTAATTAAAAAATTTAAATTATGACAAACGGCTTGTCGTGCATGGCCAATTTTGACTAATTTCTTTTTGGATCTCTTGGTATAATAATGCACAACGATTAACGACTATTGGTTGTTATGGTTATTGTCTTAAAAAAAATAAAAGGTGCATTTCAGTCACCATCGTTACTAAGAAATCAGGAAGCCGAAGGTATTCACGCATTAGGTGCGTGCAGTATTGCCACTTTTACTTTTAAAAAATTACGTTTTTTTCGTAATTTACATCATAAAGATTTTTTTTATTATTTTTTTGAGACTCCCGAAACCCCCGTACATAACGTAAAGAAGAGTTAATCCTCCATTTTCCAGACATTCGGTATGTGATAGTCTTCCTAAAGTAGAAATTAATTGGTTAATCACTCATATTTGAAATATTTCTCCATTCATTGTTTTGTGGTAGTCTCTGTAATTATTCCTCACATCCAACAAAAAAAGATAATATCCTTACAAAAAGCAGACCAACACCCTCCGTATAAGATGGTAATTTTAATTTTTCAAGGTTACGTTTTAAAACTTTTTCATGAATCCATCGACTAATATTGCTACCATGTTGGTACTATCCAAGTTTCATCAAGGCATACAAAAATTATGTTTTCGTTAAAATTTTTATAGTGAAGAAATTTTCTCAAAAAAAACAATTTTCAATACCATAAATAGAATTCTAAGAGACATATTTAATTAAATGCTAATAGCTAATGAGCTAACACATTTAAAGTAATGTCACAGTTTTTACATTGGTTTAACTACATAATTATAAAAATTGTGGTATACACAATTGACATTTTTGACTATTGTAAAAAATATACACATAGCAAATAGTAGGTGAAGCATGATAGTCGAAATAGGTTTTATTTTTTCGAAAAATTGAAAGTGCTCAGTTTAGTTTAAGCGGATTTCACCCACCCGTATCATTATAGTAAACTAACTAAAAAGTGTAGCAACAATCTTAACACTTTAGAAAGCCCATTACCTTTATTATTAAAATATTCTAAGTGGAAATTCACAAAATCAATACCTTTAAGTTCCAACAAATATTTGAACTGTTTTGGTTTTAAGGCACTAGAACGCTAGCTGAAATATCAATGAGTTTTGACAAACAATTAGCTACAAGTCTTCTTTTACGTACAATACAGTTTTCGCCACTATATAACCTTCAAGTAGAGGGAAGATGATTTATACCTAAGTTTCTGCCAACTCCGAAAAGTAAGCCAGCAAAATCGTTGCGCCTCCTTAATGTTCCTGTTCTTGTCACCCCAGTCCCGTATTTCTTTTTATATTGTGCCCTAAAGGTCTTTAGGATTAAATCGAGGAGTTATTTTCAGGGATTCTAGAGGTGGGCTATCGCTATCGTTATATTCCATAATTTCACTTTTTAAAAATCTTTCAAGGAAAATCAAGTAAAAATCAATTGTCTCATTGTACATACGAGTATAACTATAATTCCTTTTGATGAATAATCAAGAATATTTAATAATAATAAATTTTTTTTAAGAAAGTGATTTATTTTCGCACAGCTTTAGAAAAAATAGTGTATACCCTTCACTTCCAAAGAGTGTGTGGCCTTAAATGATATTGGACAGACGATCCACATTGGTTTATCAAACCGAATTACAAAGTGTAAAAATTAATGCAAGACCGCATAGCATACACCTAACATTTATACATAGTAGCACAAATTTAAAGTCACTTATGATGAAAGAAACATTTATAATAAAATAGTTTATAATAATAATTGAACCAAATCCTATTATAGGATACATAGGAAAACTTTCATGTTTTTACGTAGGACCACTAATGTAAATGGTTTATCAAAAAATATATATATACACAATTTTTTTCTAGATATTTTTTGTATCATTATTTATAAATAAATAGTAGCTGGAAAAATATATTCCACTTAAAGTCGATAAATAAACAGCTAACTAAATAATCTCATTTGTAATTTTCATTCCTTGATTTGGGTATTAACAGCCCTACCCGTACTCAAAACACAAATAAAATAAAAGAATAACATTTACATTAATTGAGGAACCGAAATTCATTTGATCTCTCAATTGAAATGAAACGCCTCATCTACATATAAAAGCGAATGAAAAGTATAAATTCAATACAAAATTTTTTCGTTTATTAGTGAAATATGACAGGCACATTTTTTATAACAAACAATAGATAATCATTAGCGACTGAATTGTGGTTAATGATTATTATTATTATATTATATTATCTGATCTACCTACAACTTTTTATAATTACCACTTCGCAATATTGTATGGGATGATTTTTTAAATTTCTGCTCTAGTTAACCATGATGTTTACGTCAGCCGTTTCAATTGTTCTTCTGCGTATGTGTCATGGCCAACTAGAATAGAAATTTAAAAAATTCCAAAACGCACACTTCACATTTTTGCAGAAAAAATCCATATTTTTTCTCTTGATTTGACATACAACTGCTAATTATAAAAACACATACAAACCGTTGTTCGTTATTTTGAAAACATGAAGTTTTGTTAAAAATGATAACTCGTAATCGTAACATAACAAAATTTCATAAAAAGTTTGTAAGTATGTGTTTTGTTTAGATTTCATGAAAACAATGTCTATGAAATTTTCATCAAATTTCAAATTGTCAAAAATATTTCCAAAAATAATGAATAAGAGAAGCGCGATAAACCTTTATGTTGTCTTTGGGTAAACATCGTATTTGAGGTTAATATACCACCATCACTAGGGATACATTGTTGTTTTTGAAAAAAATTTAATTCTGTAAAAAATAACCAAGTGTGTATTAAGGTGAAGTTCGCCCTCAATTTGAATATCGCAGTCCAAGAATTTTGAAACAATTATACTATTTTGTGGCTATTAAGACCAAAGTTCAATACTGAATGTTGAATTAAAATTGCCTTGAATTTTACCAAATTCTATCTATTTTTCAACAGTTAAGAAAAAAGTATCCATAATTGTTTTCTCAGATTTTTTTTTTGGAAAAAATGTTAACGACGTATTCCATTGGCACATCCTCACTTTTATTATTCATCTTCCCAAAAGTGGAAGTTGTTTTTTTTTAATATAAAAAGTTTTTCAAAATGGAGCACTTTTTTTATTTTCAGCACAGTTACTTGTCAGTACACTACAGCATCATCATCATAAACCTTACAAATGATAATATTATGACGGTAAATACAAAATTAAAAAAAAAATTCGGCAATTTCGCAATTAACTAAAACTAACGTTTGCAATTTTCGAAAATTTTAAGTACTTAATTATGTCGCGTTAAAAAAATGTTATTTCGAAATTGTGCGTAGGTCAAACAAACACGAAATATGAAAATAACAATTTATAACTTTTGCTGTTGACAAAATCCTCCCATTGGAAAATAAAAATCCACGACCCCTATAAACCCGCCTCCTGTGTGTTATATAAATAACAATGATAATTCTCGTAATCGCATACTATTTTACTGTCAACATGCCTATCAGTTAACTTACTTGAAACATTTTACTAACCACACCAAACAGAACGGAAGAACACTGTGTCCAAACGGAAGTCGCCCCGGCCAGTCAAAACCCCATTTGGAATGCGAATTTAAGTTTTCCCGGAGTTCCTGGTGACGAACTCATGGAACGTGTTTTAGAAATAACTCTATGGGACTTGATTCCTCACAACGAACACGCTTTCTTAGGCGAGTGTTCAGTGGACCTGCAAAAAGCCTTTCTGGACGATCGTGCGGTCTGGTGCCGATTGGAGGACCCCCGACAATTGCGCGGCAAATCTCCTCACACGTCCCCAAGAGGCTCGTTAACTGGTGCAAAACGTGAGTTTGGACTACAGAGAAGCATCTCCGACGACGTGGATTCGATAGGAGAATGTGCAAGCCTTCTGCATCCCGACCACGCCTGGGGATCGAGACGCGGCTCCAGTCAGTCTGAACAACTGGAAGTCGAAGTTTACCAACTAGGAAAAGACTTCTCAAGGTCGCTACCGGGTTCTAGAAGATCGTCTTTTCAGTCAGCTCAAGAACAGGCTGAGCAAGAGGCTCCTGCTGCTCCACCTCCGCCGTCGTACAGCAGAGATAGAAGAAGAAGCAGCTGCACTAGGATGTTGAGGGACCCAGAAGAAATACTCAAGTCGCTTAAAGCCGTAAAAGGAGAACTGGGAAGGACAATGAGCTTGTCCGCGGAGAAAAGACACAGACGTAAGTTTGTAATTAATGATATTATACACTTGAACCCTTACTTTGTTTCTTACACTGACGCACACTTTACACTATCCATCAAATTCAGTAAAGCTCCCAAAGTATCTTCATCTTTATTTTTGCCATTGCCCACACCACCAAATGTAAATTGCATCTTGTACAGTTTCGTCCGACAACAGCCGGAATATGATATCTGCTATTCCTTACTCACCAACACGTGTGTTTTTACTTATGGATTATGTTTGTTTGGGATTGGAAGACCTCTGCCTAATACATAATACAGACGTAAACTTCTGCATATTTTGGGAGTTTTGAACTATCTATAAATGATGCCTCACGCTTTCTAATAATATTCCTTTCTCTTCTTACACATTTTAAACATTTAGCGGATCTTTAGCCGCACATTGGTAAGATATTCACTAATCAGCACGTATTTGCACCTTTTTTTACCAAAATATTTATCTATTTAATGTTTTATTTTTGGTAAAAAGGTCATGTGATACATCCCTTGTGCTTATGTGATGTCGGTACCCTTTGCTTATGCCATTATACTTGACTGTTTCTTATTACAATTAATTATATATTTATATGTAAAATGTTTATCACATGTACATTGTTTTTAGTTTTAAGAGTTGAGATTTAATCAGGAAGCTTACAGTAAAATTAAAGCTTAACAACCAAATTACACGATTATATTTAGTATTTAATATCCAGTTAAATGTTGATGAATTAGTTCATTAGGTAATGAAGGACGAAATAATGGCAAGCTTACAATTTTGATAGATGGATTCACAACTTAATAACGTTATAACATCGATCTCTAAATAATTGAATTCTTCACTAATTATTATTATCAACTGCCCATTATTATTTAATTTATTCGTAAATTTTAGTGTGTATTTTAACTTTAAGTTGTTTGCTGTCAAAAATTGCATGAATATTGTATTTTATTCAGTGCTTATTTTCCGTAAGGCAAGCTGTGTATTCAAAAGCGAATACTTTACGGTAGTTGAATATTTATTAAATGCACAGTAACATTTAAGTACACAAATTACTTTATAATTATTGTACGAAACACAATTTGTATTAGTAATATCAATTAGCAAAGTTCAGACAAAAGCACAACATTTGTCTCGGAAATATATATATGTCGCGCACAATACGATAATTTTGCATGCATGTAAAGTTTGTGCAATTTATGTGTCAAGTGTAATAAGTGTTTAAATTATCTAATTTAAAATTAGAAGAGCTAGAGAGTAATAATTCTTGTACTACAACGCACTAACTGCAGACAAGAAAAAGCTCGACAAAAATAAAACAAAACTACAATTGGAGATTAAATCTCTTCGGTTTTACTGTATGCTTAAACTGATTAAATTCATACACAGAATAAATGGAAACTATATTTTACTTAAAGCAAACACAAACTGGCCTGACAGTCGTTTTGGAGTTGGGAGATGATAAAAAAGAAATATTTAGATACGTATATAGAGTTATACACACAAAATTTAAGTAAATATTCTCTGTATGTAAAATGCCATGCTGATTTGAACACAAAGAAAACTACTAGTACAAAATTACTTGTTAAGAAGAAATAAAATAAAATTTTATCCATAATGAGTATCCTAATTTTAAAATGGTAAATCTAGGTAATTATAAAAAAATAAAATAAATTCATATTTCCTCAGGATTATTCGCATCTTATATTTCCTACTCATTTCAAAAGTGCACCACAGAGATTAAGAGGATATGAAATTTTAAAATTATGGAAAATTTTATCGTACCAAACAGTGACGTGACGTTGTCGATGATGACATGCTATTCTCAGTATGTGCGAGGTTTACTACGCTGTTAAAATGGACCATTGGTAATATTAGTGGAGCCACCTGCAGCTACCTGTAGCTACATGTGTATTAAATTACACTCAACGATCAGTGTTAAGTTAGACTCTTCTCCTAAAAATAAAACAAGTTTAAATTACTTTATTTAAAACAAGTGTAATACTTAAAAACCCGTGTAAAGAAAAATTACCCTTAAAAAGTCTGAAATTGATTAAGAAAGCTGATTCCTCCACCACTGCGTTGGAAATTAATAAAATGAACTCTCTCAGCTCAGATGCCTCTAGCTTCGAGTAACTCAAACACCTTCATTCATCTGTCGGCGAAAAACATACTACGAACTTTGTCAATAATTTCTGGTATGACGGCAGTTTTTGGTCCTCCAGAACGTACTACGTCTTCAACGGATGTTCTCCTGCGCTTGAACACATTAACTCAAAGACGAATGGTTTCATAAGAAAAATATGAATCCACCAATGTGGGAAAAATCTTGTCATGGATTTCTTTCGCAGCTTTCCCCTCGACAAAGAAGAATTGAATCACACTCCGAATTGTAATTTTCTCCTTTTTTAAATAAAAATCACTCGACACCCTAGTATTCAATAATTCCTAAACGAAGAATTACTGATGGACGTCATTTATGGGAATCCGACTTGAAACCTAAATATGCAATTACTACTTTTTATTCTTTCACCCTGTAAGACGACGCGAACTGCGTTATTCATCAAACCATCTTCGTAAGAACGTTCCCGACTGAATCGGCTTTCAAACAAAAGAAACCGCATTGAAATCGGTTCATCCGGTTGGGAGCTATGGGGCAACAGAGAGACACTGAGAAATCAGCTGATTATCTTGAAATGATTGAAGTGATTATGGTCAAACATAGCTAAGAACCATCTTGAGTAAACTAGCTTTCAACTAAAAAACACCGCATCGAAATCGATTTATTCGTTTGGGAGCTACAGTGCCACAGACAAGTCCACAGACAAATAAATGCTTCAATGTTAGAAGAAGCTTAAGTAATTACTATCATAGCTAAGCACCATCCCGATCAAACCAGCTTTCGAACAAAAAAAAACGCCACATCCGTTAAAATTATAACACCCCTCTTTTATTAAGTAGAGCTAACATGAACATGTTTCAAAAGCGTTTTAATTTTGCAAACAACAAACACAGTTTCAGCAGCGGAACCCATTTAAGAGGCAATTAAAAACTATTGAACTCCTATCCGTTACCCGGAGTCTTAGTATTGTAGTCCGGTGTTGTAGGATTTTGCTTAAATACCCAAAAATAATACAAGCTCCTAGTTCCGGCAGACCTCGGAGCAGTCCGGGACTTCAAAACCGCCACTTTTGACGTTTGGTACATGGGATCAATGGGTCTCGACGCGTGTGGTAACAGACGCGTAATGTGGTGTAGAGGGTCGACGGATTAGGTCAATATATCTCCAGATCAAGTCTTTTAAGCTGTAATCGTATATCCCCATGTAGTCCTTCCATTAATGCTAGAATTTCGGCAGCATAGATTGGATTGATCAGTAGACCAATGTCACTTTTTCAAATAAATCTTGGTTTTGTTCGGAACAGAATGGGTCAGACGACACCGTAGTGAAAGGCGTAATTTTGCTTTTTCGATTAAACGTTATGTCAAGAGCAGGTCTCCACTGATTTTTGAAGGGTCTATGACGACACAGCGTTAAGCGAAACTGCTAGAATCGATAGCCAGGCCTCCTTAGTATGCCTAGCTGAGATAGCTATTGTTCCTTGGCCCCCACGCGCCACTGATTTATCCCCAATAAAACATGTATGTCGGAGATTAAAATATGTTTTTTCAAATCCTCGGCCGACCCCAGCACACCTTAGGCAAGTCGTTTAATAAGTGGGCAAGTTTAGTGTTCCTCAAGAAAATATCGCCCAGCTAGTTAGCTTGATGCCACAACGTGTAGCAGAATGTGTAACTTCACATGAAGGACTCATACACTACAGTGGTTACATACCCCTAAACTACTGTAACTATGTTCCAATTGTCATCAATTGTCGCATGGTCTGACCTCAATATACAGAGGTATCCCGAAAATCGTGCACTTTTTGAGGGTGCCTTATCGGGATATACACACCCAGAAAAATGTTGGAAAAATTCTATGTCGTTCATTTTTGTACATAGAAACGCACAAAGAGTAAATAATGAATGTTAAAAATCAAGGTGTTGCAGGTGTTAACATTAATTTGAGATATTAAAGTCATCATGTAAAGGGCATTCAATAAAAAAATTCTTAAAAAAGTGCTACAAAAATGCTTTTAAAGCTTAATAAAGTCTTCTGTGTAACATTGTTACGTTAAATGAAACCATGTTTATTGTTATAATTTTTCTAAAGTAATACTTTAACTTCAGACAAGATGACAAAAATGAATTATACTTTTAATGAAAACCACGATATGTATTTGTTTCTTGATATATGGGAAACACGGCACAAGCTGCCAGCCAATATGCTCTGCGGTTTCCCAATCGTCAACACCCGCATAGAAATATATTTTCGACCAAAGAATGCGGGACACTGGCAGATTAGGTGTTCCTCCACGCGAGGTTAGTCGACGCAGGACTATAAGAACTGTGGATGTGGAGGAAGCAATCCTCGAACAAGTTGAAAGTAGCCCTAAAAAAGGTTAAGACAACTGGGCTGGAGAAGAAGAAATTTTTGTAATTCAGCAAACTGAAGTAAATTTTGCTAGAGGAATCTTATGGACTTATGAAGCAGCTTTCACAAGAAATGGTATTTTCAGTTACCATAATTACCATTATTGGGCTATCGAAAACCCCCATGTCATGCATGTGACTGGCCATCAAAGCCACTTTGCAGTTAATGTTTAAGCAGCCATCGCCATGCAGTGACAGAGTTATTGGTCCACACTTCTTTCACTGAGGGTAACTAGACCTTTACACCACATGTTTGACGATGTTCCTCTACATGAAATAAGGGACTATCGGTGGTCACAATTAAACAGGGCTCCGGTCAATTTTACTGTCCCACTGAGAAAATGGCTGGATAACAATTATGTCCATACTGGATTAGAAGAGGGAGACCCGTGACCAAAAGAAGGATGTGAATCAATCATACGAAAATCCCTTCTCTGTCGGTCGAGATGGTGAAAGGCGCTCCTATGGTACGCGCAAAGTCCACCTTTTTGGTGAACAGGAAGAACATTCCCACAATGGAATACCTGGCTTCGTTTCGTTATCTAGGCCAGGCTTGCAATACAACCAATGTCCTCAAGCCCCCCTTAACTAACTTACAAACATAGTTGAACAACATTAGTAGATCGCCATTGAAACTAACCAAAAAGTAGGCCTTGTTAACACCTTCGTCAACCCAAAATTACTGCTCGACTTTGCCCGTTTACAAAGGGCCTCGAAGAAATGCGGAAGATCACTCAAGTAGGGCATGGCTTAGGAAGATTCCAACCGGCTGGTCTTAGCGGGACTACGTGCGTGTAATACAGTTGAGAACGGAGGGTCCAAACGCATCAAGTCCGTTCCTGTAAACCACAGATATTGTCGTGGCGGGTACAAAAAAATGAAGACAACGTATCACATTTTAGAGTCTTGTCCGGTAACGCATGACGCGAGGGTTAAGAGACGCAACGAAATAGTAGAGAAGATCGCGGGCCACCATAGGAAGACGAATTGGGGAGTAGAAGTAGAACCCAGAGTTAAGCATGATGATGGTCACTCTACAAGCCAGATTTAGCGATACATGTAACATCTACCCAAATAGTTACTGTTGATTTGCAAGTAAGTTGGGACGGCTCGGACACACCATTGCAAGGAATCTTCAGCAAAAAGAAACGATTCTATGATAACGCTAAATTCATCCATGACGCTAAGAAAACCTAGTCTAGCAAAGACCGTATTTTCAGAACAGTTTTACTGAGCGTGAGGGGCAAATGGCCTCGTGCAAATAAGAGACTGAAGAAATACTTGATACTCCGCCATCGTCAAGCATAGTTGCGTCCAATCCACACTGAAATTGGGTTCAACTTTACACTCCTTGTTTATGAGATCAAACCGTTTAAATTATGTTCACTTTAATGGCTTCACATCTTACGAATTTGTATCAAAATCTGGAGTCCCTCAAGGATCAAACCTAGGGCCCCTTCTTTTCAACATATTTATTAATGACTTGATTATTTCATTTACGTGTAAGACTTTAGCATATGCAGATGATCTTAAGCTCTTTCATTCAATTGTCCATGATGAAGACATGTTATTATATATTATTAAGCATTTAGAAGGCTATGTAAAGACTATTTTAATATGTTTTAATGTTTTTCGGTATTCTTTTTAAGTATATACAAGTTTGTTGTTTTGTATTTTGTTATCCTGTAATTGGACTTCGGTCTGCTGGGTAAATAAATAAATCTTAAATCTTAAATCTTAAATCTTAAATTACTACAGGAGAACGTTAACATACTGTTTAACTGGTGTATCCAGAACAAACTTCCTCTTAATTATGACAAATGCTGCTTTGTGTCATACACAAGAAAAATCCACCTAATTAACACACATTATGTACTTAACCACTATCAGTTAGAACGTAAAGAGATGATAAAAGACCTTGGTGTAATCTTTGACAAAAAGCTTACATTTACCAGTCACATTGATATGATTTGCAGATCAGCCAACAAATTACTTGGTTTTATTATGAGAACCTCTAAAACATTTCATGACAGTAACGTGATAAAAAGTTTGTATTATGCATTGGTTCTAAGCAAAATAGAGTATGCTTGCGTAGTCTGGTCTCCACTATATCACTGTTACGAACTTCAGTTGGAAAGGATTCAGAAAACTCTTCTTAAATACATATCATTTAAGACTAATGGAGTTTATCCTGGAAGAGGCACGGATTACACACTTTTGTTAGAAAAACATTCCTTTACATCACTGACAAAAAGACGTAATCAACAAGCAGTGAAATTTTTTTTCAAACTTCTTTCCAATTCTATTGATTGTCAAGACCTGTTAGGCGAAGTCTTCTTTTTAGTGCCAAGAATGGGTTCCCGTTTTTCCGTAAGCTTTTTTGTACCTAGGCCAAGGACCAACGTTCTCAGGAACTCCCCTGTTAGCAGAATGTCGCACCTTGCTAATTGTATTTAACTAGAGCATTTCACTACTGTTTTTCATTTTTCATTCTGTATGTAATACTATGTATTATAATATATTATATATTTTTAGTTTTAGTTTTAGTTTAATAGCTTTAATTACGCTATTGTTCATTCCTAATAATTTATGTTGTCCTGTAATTGGAGTACCTCTGTTGGGCAATAAAGTTTATTATTATTATTATTATTATTATTATGAGATCAGCATGGCAGAACCTACGTGGTTCTATGATCTAATAATACATAAATTTTTAAATTTTTAAATTATGAAAGGCTACTAATGGGTTTTTACTATACTTTGACCAGAACTCTTGTGCGGAGTCTGCCTCAGGCGTGTATTGACTTCCACTAATTTTTAAAAACCCTTGTAAATTTGTCGCATTCGAGATGGCTGGGAGGCGGTTTGTCGAAATGGACCATAATGAAAATTTTACTGCCATCTGTATTACTCAAGACAGAGGTTAGGGTAAGTAGACAAGTTTCCAATGGTGGATGGTTAAGCCCTCATAAAAATTAGTGGAAGTCAATAGACACCTAAGGCAGACTCCACACAAAAGTTCTAGTCAAAGCATAATAACATTACTTAACGGTTTTAATTGGTTCTTTAACCAAAGTATGCCCATGACTAACTGTGATCGTATATTATCCAATGTTAACTACACATTACAACCTTATTATTTTTTAAGTCAATTTTTATTTCCATTATCCTAGAAGCTAATTAGAGGTTTAGATTTTTTAGCCAGGGATAAAACTGACTACAAATATGATCACAGAACAAATTACAATAATTCATTGTTATCTGGGGTTCTATGTATTTAAATCCATCAAACTCGATAAAAGAGCTCACATATGCTAGTTGTCATTTTGAATTTTAGTTTTAAAATGTTAATACTACGTTATTAAAATAAATCAGCTGTTATTGAATTTATTTCAAAATACGAGTAGTTGCCTGCAAAATATGTTTTTAAATAACTGTGAGTTACTTTTTACAGTTTTCAATGTTTTATCTTCTTTGCAAAATGGTCGTAGCTGTAAACTGTAAGATTAATGAAGCAAGTTAGTGCCAGCTCTAAACTACTAGAAACTAGATTTTCATTGCCGTTAAGGTTATTATGTTATTATAATGATGAATTATTTAATTGTTTTAATTGCTTCGTTAGCCAAAGCATTTTAAAATTAACTATGATCATTTTCATTTTGCTAAGGTTATTTATTTGTAAAATTGTTTGATTTTATTCAAGTTTAATTTGTTTTCATTGTCGTAGAAACTCAAGACACTTTGGAATATCTAGCTGGGTATAAAAGTTACTACTGGAATAACATTATTATTAAAATTATTTTCTTTCAAAGCACAGGAATAGTCAAAGGACATTCGTTTCCTAAAACCCAATTACATAAATTTATTACACGTTTCAAACACAAGGAGAGCTCAAATTTTATCTCAATCTATTTTAAAAGCAAGTACAAATCTTAACGAGAATAAAATTACAGTCAACGGCAAAAACTAGTTCTTCGAAAACTTTAAATTATTATTTATATTATTTAAAATATAATAGTTTGCGTACACATACGTACCTATTTTGAAGTAATGGTACAGTTTTCTTTGACTCTTTGACCTTTTCACCTATTAAAATATACAATTTTTACAGAAAAAAATCTCGTATGTTTTTTCCAACTTAACATCTGCCATGCGATGGTATTTAAATATTTCTTGATGGCTAATTCCCAACTCCATCCAGACTAAAAGCTAACTAAAACATACACCACCGAGTAGAGAAGCTTCTTTGGTTCCATCGTATTCAGCTATAGACTAGAATCGTGAGTCGTTGCGTAACTAAATTGGTCATTAGTGAAAGTCCGCGTATTGGCATATTACGGGAAATGAACTTAGTAGCTGCTTCTAGTTTCCATCATCATCCTTACAATTTAGCTTTAGGGAATTAGAATCATGTACGTACGGTGAGTATTGACGAATTTTGCATTTCACGTCCTTGTCTCGTCAACAGGCTCGAGTAGCGGCGTCTCAAACAGAGAAGGTCGCAAAGACAGCGTGATGGAAATAGCGGAGACCGGCAAAGAGAACAGCCCCCCTTCGAGCCCCGAACGCACGTCCCCGCCCCGACTGGGCCCCGGCCAGATCAAGCCCCGCGGCTTCCGCCTGTCGAGCACGCGGCCGGTGGAGCTGAAGCTGGGCCTGCTCATGACCAAGGGGCAGCTGGAGGTGGAGGTGGTGTGCGCGAGGCACATAGCCCCCCGCGAGACGCCACCAGACACCTACGTCAAGTGCTACCTCAGGGACGGCGAGCGCTGGCTGCAGAAGAAGAAAACTCGGGTGGTGCGGCACTCCTGCGAGCCCCTATTCAGGCAGACCCTCAAGTACCAGGCCTGCGACGTACTAGGCAGAAGCCTGGTCGTCATGCTGTGGGAGCGACAAGGGGGGTTCGAACACAACCAGGGGCTCGGCGGGGCCGAGGTGGCCCTGGACTCCTTGACGCTCACGCACCTCACGACAGGCTGGTACCCGCTTTTTCCCATTCACTCGCTAGGCTCGGACTCCAACGACTCGCCTTGACCTGCTCCAGATACCCCTCCTGAGGATCCCATAGATTGAATGACAGTGTTAGAGCAAGATTCCTGATAGACGTAACTTCCCCATCCTGCTTGCTTTCATTCACGCTTTCGTATACTTGAGTGGTGTGCGAGATAACTTCCTAATTGAGTTCATTGCGAATTATTGTACTTGCTACAGTACAGTGTAATGTAGATTTCTGTGCTTTCATCTTCCTTTTGTATTCATGCAGATCGGCCAATTCTGCCTTGCAACACGTAGCACATCAGTGATCACAAATTGTTTAAAAAGATGGGTAGCTCATTGTAAAATTTCGTCAAAAACTTTATATTGTTTGCGTGTTTAAGTTTAAGCTATGCGGTGCAAGTTGTTTGTCGTTGTCACTTTTATTATGTTACGAGTAGCCCAGTCAATCCGGCGTTAAACAAGTGTTAATACTTAACCAAAACAACAAAATAAAAAAATAACTCTTAAAAACTCTGAAATTGGTTAAGATCCGCTGCGACGGTCGACGCACTATTCCCGTCTTCGCGCGAACCGAACTGATTCCTACGCCAACTGTGTTATGAGCTGAACTACATTGAAAAAACTTCAAACTTAAAGCAACCCTCTTTTTATAACGGGTATAAGTATGCAATTATTTTTTTTTATTTATTTCCTTAACCGTATTTACAACGTTTCAATATAACGTCAATAATAAATAGTTATGAGCAGAAAAATTCAAAAACTACGAGATGAAAAACTTTAAAGCAAGATAATGCTTGCATTTTCAGTCCTACTAAAAGAAGACAGATTTAAATATTATTGGACTACACGACTATGTTGTAAACCGATTTGGAAGGGTGAAACGATAATTAAGAAAAAAAGTAAAGCAATAAAATAATTAAAATTCGATTAGATAAACAAGAAAACGGAAGATTTATGGAACACAGAAATAAAAAAAGATGTAATACGGCTAATAGACAAATTATTATGAAAGGAGAAAAGCGATCAAAACACACACATCAAAAATAAAGTACCAAAATTATTTCTTTGTTTCTCTGTTCAGTTGCACTTAAAACTGCTTTGACTTTTTTTTCACATTTTTCAGAAGTTTTAGATTTTCTTTCATAGAATTTCTGGTTGCATTGCAGATATTGACTTTGAAAATGTACTGGGAAGATTAAGTTTGAAATTGGATTAACACAAAGCACATTTGTTTGGTTTAATATTTTGGAATATCTAGATTTTTTCTAAGAATTTTAATATTTCACAATTTCTAAGTTTTAAAATTGTTTTATTTCAAATTTTATTATAAAAGGTCCAAAACTTACCATCACACAGTTTTCATCGACAACGCATTTTCCGAGAGCAGCGTTCTAAAGTTTGCTTTCCTTGATAACGCTGACGAATCATAAAACAAAACAAATAGTAGTGATTTATGAGCAAATACTCTCAAAAAGGAAAATAGGCAATTTTTTGTAGGATTGAAAACGCAGAAGTTCCAAACTTTTTTCACTTTTCTGCGCATAACTTTAAAAAAAAAAATATTAGCAAAAGATATCTTACATTTTTTGTCAGACTCCCGGTTAAGGAAATAAATCAAAAAAATAATTGCATCCTTATTTTTAAAATGACAACACTCCCAGTCCCAAAAACTCAGTTTCACACTCAAGACCCATCCCTCTATGAAACCCAAAAAAAATTGCTGCCCTCACAAAATGCACGGTCTCTGTTGTGTCCCGCAAGGAAAAGTGTTATGACAATACACAAGCATTGGGGTCTCCTTTGTATATCTAGATGAGAGGCCCTCTTTTGTGGCCAAACTACTTAGCTCATGACATTTTTTCTTTGAGAGAAGAGGATTCTTTCCTGGTAGCAGCAAGTCCCAGGCAGGAATACAGAATATGCTCTGGAGTCTCATCGTCATCTAAGCACATTCTGCATGTGCCATCGGAAACCACGCCAAGCTCATCTAAATTGCACCAAATGTTAGAGCCCATTGAATGGTATATAATATAAATCTAGGATTGCCTAAGGAATCTTGATTTGCTACCGACGCAATCCATGCAACAAAAATAAACTTAGTGGATGGATTGCCACTAAAATCACAAACTATTTCCTACAGGGTTCTACAATTCCACAATGACTATTTGGAATTGACTAGTCTTCCTAAAAGTCTCAGCTTGTCAAAAATTAATATAACGATTTTACGGTCACCACTTGGACTAATGGAAAGCCACCACAAACTGAACAACCAAAGGTAAAAATGTCTATGATATAGGCCTACAGCTAATTGCAGCCAGCGGTCAGTTAAATTTATTCTAAGTATTTGACTTAGGTGCTAGTTACCTGTGAAGTGCGGTTTTCAGTGCAACTGCAACAGTTGAGCAACTACCCGCTAATACAAATTAATCTTTTCACCGTAATACTAGACGGTCTTGAATACGAAAAAGACATTTAATGAGTATTGACTTTTGGAGTAAACTACCCTAACAGAAAACTCAAGAAAAATTAATATTAATTTAATCACTATTCACGAAGTAATTGCTATGATAAATAAACATCCTTTCGTGAAGAACCATTAGTTTAATCTTGACATTAATCTATCCAGGGTTTTTTATAAACGTAATTTACTAGAACTGGAATTGTCCATTTCTGTTTATTATCACTTATCAAATGACAAATAAAGCTGGCAAAGTCACAAAAACGACGGCCACTTAAAACATTTAATCCAGCATGAGATCGTGCATTTTGGATAGGCAGCGATTTTTTGGGTTTCGTAGAGTGGTAGGTTCTTTAAGGCGAGATAACTCTTGTATTTTCAATCCTACAAAAAAGATTATTTTTTACTGGATTACATAATTGTGTCGTAAATTGGTTTCGCAAGGTGGAACGATAGTTAATAAAAAATATCTACGTATTCATTAAAATGCAGTTAGACAAGGGGAAAAACGGAAGATTTATGGGTTCTGGAAATGAAACAAAGAATAAAACGGCTAACGGTGAATTGTGAACAACTGTGTAAAAGTGCCCACATCAAAAAATTCTACAAGATAGGTACCTTTCTTTGTTTTTCAACGAAAGGACTTGTATGTGAGGCTAAATCAATAATGTTAATTTTCTACTACTTGGTATAAAACAGCAAAAGAATTATAAAACAAAGTTATGCATACAATTTTTGTTTATTTTGACATATTTTTCGATTCCGGAAAATTCAAAGAGTTGTTTTTTGGATTTTACCATTTTTGTAAATATGAAAATTGTGTAGCAATAAAACATTTAAAATTTCCGAACGTCCATGGTGAGAATATATTTGGATATTCGGAAAATATTATATATTTTTAAGCTTTGAAAAACCTAGTTTTTTTAATTTTCAATCTTGCTATTAGAATGTAATTCTCTAGTTGATTTGTTTCACGTTTAAAGGATATTCGAAATTTTGTTGTATTATATATAGATATTAACTTAACTTTGAAAATTTACTTAAAACTCTGTGGACTTTGTACAAAATAGATTTGTTTCGTTTAATATTTTGGAACTTCTAGATTTTTTTTAGGAACTTTAAGGTTCCCAATGTACAAAATATGGATTCTATAAAAACGAACTAGATCTGAACTTGAAATCTGTTTCATGGATATTTTATTACATATTTAAGTTAAAAATAATTCCTAAAAAACACAATTTTCAGTTAGAATGCATTTTCCAAGTACATACAGTCTTGTCGAGAACACGATTCATAAAAACTGCCTCCTTTGGCAATACTGACAAATCAGTAAAAAAATTGTGGTATTAAAAATACAAAAGTTATCTCGTCTTAAAGTTGTTCATATTTTTCTACTCTCAATTTTTAGAGTTTCAGTTAAAAAATGTTTCCAATTTTTTTGTGAAATTTACGCATACGGAGATTAATAAATACACTTAATGCGCCTTTATTTTCAAGATGGCAGCGATATGATAACACCTTCAATTCCGAAAACTCAGCCTTAACCCCCTCAAAACGTCGTGCGCACTATTTTTTAACGCCGGTTTAACTGCACCAAAAACAAACACTAATCTTGACGCGTAAATGTAAATGTACTCGTAAAAACAATAATTCTTGTAGGTGTCAAAATTGCATACCTACTCTTAATAATATTTCTAAAAAATTAAAAAAATTAATATTTTTAAATATTTTCCAGAGTACTGTAGTTTTACGATAATACTTTTAAATGCTACTATTTAAGTTATGAGAATTTACTTACTTCAAAAACTGAAACAGCTTGTTAAATAATATACAGATATTCCAAATTTTAGAAATGTTTTCATAAATCAGAAATTTAGAAAAAAATAAATCTTACGTGAAACACCTTAACGAAATCGAAAAATTCTCATACGTTAATCACAAAATGATCGCTTCATTAATTGCCGGCGAATAACGGCCTAAAAATCACAAATTATAATATGTAGATACACATTTTCAAGTTTAGTCCAGATTTAGAAGAAAAGAACGCGAGTGAAATCTGCTTTCAATTCATAAATCATCAGATAACGGCCTCTTCGATATTCGTCCATAGTGAAGACTTTAATAATGTGATAACATAACTTATCGTTATTAGTCTACTATTGCATTTCTTATTTTCTTATAAAACACAACAATGCCATAAAATAAACTTAAAAAAATCATACTTCCATGAAACAATCAACTTGAAATTTTAAGACACGTTAAACTATAGAAATTATAACTGAAAAAGTGTAATACCTATCCTCGTAATCGCAATTACGAAAAAAAAGTCATACAGACGAAAGAAAGTACAATAAATTATTGCTTACTCGACTCCAAAATTTGCAATTAGCTACATCCGATATAGGTCGTTTCACACTATGTATTGAAATATGCATAAATATGACAAACAAATTGAACTTTCGTTGTAAGTGCAGTACATCTTGGATCTGATAAGAAAACTTTCCCAACTACATACAATTATAAGAGCTGTAAGTTGGAGTGATATCGTGATTACCGGCTGAGATTAGCAAGTTCATAACGTTCGAATATTTTACTTACCCTTCGGCGCAGGAAAAATGTTCAAGCTATTCCAACGATCCCATGGCGGAATATTACTCGTTATCCAAAACTTATTGAGAAAATATCTTAACACATTCCGCTAGAAAGTATTTACATAGACCGACCTAAATTTCCACTAAGTATACCGTTATGTAAGTTGGATTAAATTTTTTTGATTCTTTTTTGCAACCCCAATGAAAATAATTTACGTCAAGATAAGGTAACACAAAACTCCAACAGTTTATGATTGTAAGCACTAAGAAATTTATTTGAGTCTAACTATATTAGTAACTTTACTAATATGCTGTTCTCAGTCGACTCAACTAGTTAGACTCCGCTACACTTTTCCAAAACAAAAATGCGTAATGATTTTGATAAATCAAAAAATATCTTCACCGAAATTACACCACTTTTTTGTCTCAAACTTTAATTCGGAATTTTATAAAAATTAAAAATACTTATAAGAAAAATAGGGCCTTCTTATAGGTATTTGTTTAAAAGAAAAACCAATATAGTAAAAAATACGTATTCCTTAATACCATAATAGTTACCTACTAATTAAGTAGTATAACTACTAACTACATGTCTATGTACATTTACTTTAAATAAAAAAATTCTCGAATAAATATCTACCACATTTCCCAACTGCATGAAGAATGTAAAAATGCTAGAAAATGAGCTACTAATTCTAAAAAATCTGAACAATTTCTGATCACTGATTGTAAGAGGATTAAAGTATAGTATCGGGCATAGCATTAAAACAGTGATTATACAACTGGAAAAACAAAAATCTGAAACAATGCAAAAGTTACAAAACTTAAAAAATAAACCCCATTATTCACTTTTTGAAACGGCTTAAGAGAGAAAAAGTGCTATTACCCATACTATCAATGTATGTAATGCTATCATGAAACATCAGGCATACCTTTTGTACCTAATCAAAACGCTACGTAATTGAATTCATATCAATAATTATCAATTAATTGATTATTTAACGAAAAATAATTGATTGCAAGGACCAAAGATTTTGTACAGATTCGTTGACACATTATTTTTCTACGGATTTATCTGCGATTCATTTCACACTAAAGGTAATAAGTTTGGGGGTTACCAAACGCATTATTGACACGGATATTACATAGTAAATTAAGTGTAACATACTGTATGTGCTAAACTACACCAATGTATATAAAACTTAATACGTAGCTAGTACTTGATAGGTTGTTTGAAAGTTCCCCCTGTCCAACTTCACTGGTAGGGGTTTCCCTTTACATAAAATATCGTAAAAGATTTTATATGAGATAATTTAATATTTAAATTTTTGACATCTTCTAGTTAAGTAAATCATAATCTTATTCATTTTCTAGCTCAGGATATCATTAATCTTCGATTTTTTTTCAATTTCGTGACAATCTTTTAGAACTAAAACTATAGGACAAAATTAAATTACTTGTGGGTAGAATGTAATTACTATTATTTCACATTCTTTTCATCACAGTCTTTCAAATGGTATTTTCGATTCACATGCACTCACTCCATTGGTTAGATTAGACGGTAGGTATCAAACGATATTGTTGTATAACTGTGGCACTAACCACATTTACACTAGCACAAACCCAAATTTATGTCACAATAACACAAGCTGTGCAGTTATTGTAGGCACCTGTTAATAATTCTATTATAATAAATACCTAATATGGATAAATAACCCCAGGAACGCTGTACCAGAGTGTACAAACAGTGCAGTGCAAACAATCGAAAATACTATAAATTATTTAAAAAAATAAGTAAATAGATAAAATACCTTCTTCTGTGCTTAAAATGATGGCATGAAAATAATAAAATTACGTGATATAAAAAAGAACCCCGACACAGAAAACCACAGTGTGAATTCGTGTCATCTTGACCCAAAGCTATCGCTGTTTTCTTAATTTTTGAGATATATCTACAAAGAATATTAAATTAGATTTTGTTCACTACGTGTATTGTATATAATACACGTTTATAAAAATTTACAAACATAAAATATGAAACCTAAACCAGCAGCAGCAGCAGTGGGATTACGACCACGCTATATACCTATTTTTGACACATACTATGCTACTAATATAGTCTCTGAAATTTTTAGCTGGAATTATTCGGTCTGCCTTTAACTTAATATACATACAAAATTAGAGCAAATGTTTACACTCTCGCAAACACGATCAACGGCGATCATTTGAATTTATATAACACCTAAAAAAAATACAAATTTGTAACGAAAAATAAATTTGGGTATACAAGAAAACAGAACAAATATGGGATGGCACAAAAGTTTTCAGAATCAGAAACATTGTGTTTCATAAATTAATAATTTTTTATTCACAAACTATATTACTCTACTCTGTTGGATTAATTAAGAAATCGTAAGTGTAGTTACAGTGTTATTCAATAAAGTATATGAATTTAAAATTTACACAGGGAAAGATGATATGCATACAAAGTGGCACAATAAAGCATGTTCTCCTCATTAATTTTATTAAAGACAGAAAAAAAGTTACGCTTTTTTTTAGCATTTAGCAGACCTTCTCTATGTTTATGATGTTTTATTTTTAAAATTTCATCATGGCATTGTCAAATTATTCCAGTTTTCTCAAAGGCCCACAAAAAATCGCTAATATGAATATTTTTTAGCACTTCACAATGACATTTCAAAAAATAGAATACATTTGTAAGCCTTGAAAAGAAGCCAGTTGGAATATACATATAAAAATACATAGGAAATTCCACTTAAAAAACTATACAACTGGGCCTCAAATTCTAAGAACAATTTTCGTTTTTGTTCCTCAAATAGTCCATCTTTAATAGTGATTAACAATATATGGACGAGTGCATGCTAGTGACCCACCCTGTTTATACATATTAATTTATTTATTTATATTACATGATTTAATAGAATCCCTAAATCCCAAAAAAGTGTTAAAATTTATGATTGTAAATTAAAAACCGCAAAAAATTATAACAAATAACCGAAACAATATATAAAAAACTATTCTAAAACCCATTTTCCAGACAATAAAGCATCAATGTACAAATTTTTGATAAAACTGAAGTTTCAATCAGTTATTTTTTTTCTATTTGATATTTTTCACTCCGCCCCTGCTTTGATAATGTATTAATTATATTATTTGAAAAACAATGTATTCAGTTACTAAAGCACTTATTCTTTTGCGTTTCTCTTATGTTCCAAAATCTTTCAAATAAGGTGGTGGTGCTATGAAAATATTCAAATGGTAAAAGTAAAAGTAAATAAAAAATCTTAGAAAAGATCCTGGAAACTTGGTGCATAAAGTCTATGTTTTGTATTAAACATTCAAACTATAAATTTTAAACCAACTTTTCCTCTCAAAAACTTGACACGACTGTATGTTCTCATCACCGAAGATACATGATGCTAATACAGTATAAATTGGTTACAGCCAACACGAGATATTATATTTTTTTTAATTTAATACTAAAAGTCTCTTACTGAATACACATCATTTTATTTGAACTCGGGCAGAATGAACAGGAATATAAGGATCTAATATATCGCTCTGCGGAATGAGTGAACTCGGCTGTAACTAACTAACGGAAAACCATTTTTGACTTACTGAACGAACACTGAACAGCGCATATGACAAAATAACGCAGCACGAGTAAAAATACATATCATTTATAAAAACACAAAAAAATAATGCAGCACAGAATTACCTTGGTTCTCCATGAGTGCAATGCAGTGAAGCATTAAACGATAGCAAATGAAATGGAAATGGCCAGTTAATTTACTCGGAAAATCAACAATTTTTAGGTAGTTTAGGACGAACAAAAGCATCCAAAACTGTTTTTATTTTACTCATAAAAATAATTTCTTAATAAGCATATTTTTTGCATCCGTTCCTAAAATAAACGCGTTAAAATAACAACCGGGCAAAATTTGAGCACGAAGGTTCATAGCATCATAGCTCTCAGATAAGGAACTGATTACAAACTCCTTTGTGGTCTTAAAACGGAGTTCGACTGTAAAAAGTTACTTTGCATTTGTAATAAAATTTTGAGTCACTCCAATAACTTTTGTGTCAGACTGGATATGAACTTAACACAAATTGATAAAACTTTGAAATTACAAAAAAAAAACATTTTTATCAATAAATGCATCGTCAAGGTGTTTTCCTGTGGACTAACGCCAAAAGCACAGAGGAAGGAAGGTTATATTATAACCTTGTGAAAAATGAAAAGAAAACTTCTATCATGATTATTTACTGACAGATGTTTCTCTTAGATAGTATTTCACCGTTCTTGTTCAAACTAAAACTAGTCTAGACTTGTTCCCTTCTTGTTCTGAATAAATGTACTAAAAAAAGTTTAAAATCAAAGTTGTCCCAATATAAAGTCGTTCTTGCAATTGAAGATTTAACCCTAGCCACAATGAACATAGTCTGGCTTCTAAAACTTAAAGATAATCAATTCACAATCATTCTATACATACTTATACAATATACATAATGTGAAATAGTTCGAAACAGTTTACGGCATTAAATATGCTTGATTTATAAAAACTAATGGCTCTAAATATTCAACAACGTAAACCAGTTCATATAACATAAAATATGCAAGTAATGATCTAAACTTAATATCCCCAATTTTGGCCATATTGAAATTGTGAGGATATATTAAAAAAACGATTACGACTGAAAAGCCCTGTTAGTGAGATCTTTATAGGTTCTGTCTTCCGTAGTGTAGCAGACCACATCTGTATCTCCCCAACTTTGGATGGTACATGTACTAAAACTATATTTTTATGAAAAGAAGCGAGATTCTTAGCAAGATCATGTGAGAATTTTGATACAATTTGATCAACTTGTGTATTTCCTAGCTTGTTCTAAATAATCAATGGCCTAACATTGAAACGCGACAATCCTCTTTAATATAATTACTCTATGGACGATATTCGTTTCTAAATGTTATAATTGTGTGGACATATCCCTTATACTAGCTAGTGACAATCTGTTCATGTGATGTAATATTTTCCTTTTGTTTTGGGTTCTGGATTGTCTTCTTTTTTTCTCAGTCTGTTATTTTATCACGTGAACAATCCAGGACCATTATTAATCATATTTTATACATGTTATTGCTGTGCCATGGAGCATGATTGTTAAAGTTAAGCATTTCATGCTTCTATTTTGTTCTAAACATAGATATAACAATGTTAATTTAACAGCAGATTATAAATGTGTTGAAAATCCGAATTATTTTTGTTAAATTGTAACTAATAACCATAAATGTGTTGTTCATAAATGTACAAGATGGAAAAATAAAGATACTTGTAAAAATCGTGTATTTTGAATGTTCACCTTTACATTTATTTAATAACTTACAATATTATTTACACCTAGAATAATAACGTATTTATTGATCACCTTGTCCATCTTGATTATTTTTAGCCTGTGACAAGAAAGCTAAATGTCCCTTAGGACACCTATTGGCATAATGACCTTTCGTCCCACATTTGTAACACGTAACATCTTCAAGCTTCTTTGGAAGCATCTTTTGCAAAAATGAATTTTGAGGTTCATAATTACTATCATGCTTTTTATGATCATCCGACTGTCCATCCTTATTACTATCACTATTCATTTTGTTGCAATGTATAGCCTTATGACCATGTTCATTACAAAAGTGACAAATAATAACCGGCGCCGCTTTTTTATCTTTTTGAACCTGATCTGGTGGTGCAGGAAGTTCAAAACGTGGATGCATATATTTACAGTTAGGCCCATCTGGACAAAATCCAGCTAAATAATTCGTGCATAAAACCCTTCTAACATGCCTGTGTCTACAATGTGGTCCATGCCGACAAAATCCACGATCATACCATGGACAGTCTTTAATTTTACTTTCTGGGTCAATATGAAGAAATGGACACTCTTTATTATGACAAGCGTTAAACCTCGAATAGAAGTAGCATTCTGGCATTTTTGTCATGTCATACTCGTGTAAAAATTCACACTGATCTCCTTTCTTGCACAAACCTCGAAGCCAATGTTTACACACTATAGTTCTATCGCCTCGAACATGTCGAAAAGGGCATTGGGGTCCTTTCTGGCATCCTATTGGGGAAGAATAAAACTGGCACACGGCTGCGATTGATTCTAAAATTTAAAATATTTAATAACACGACATGTCAACATAACCTCACTCACTGTCCATTCCCGAAAAGGGAAGAGGTAAGGCTCCGAATTGTTCATCTAGGGCCACTTCTATATCAAACTTTATGTGATCAACGCTCGCCACCAAACACTCCATTATAATGTTGTGAGTTCTCTATTCTGCGTGGACGAAAAACATTAAAATGTAAACAACCCCCGCAACATAAGCTGTCATTCAGGTGTCACTTAGTGATGTGAGAGTACGTATTAAAATATTCGTTTATTCCGAATACAGAAATATTCGGGTGAAGCCGAATATGCCCGAAAGAAACGGATTCGGAATAAATGTTACGCGAGAGTGGTACACGGAACACGGACAACTGTCGTTCGGAATCGGAAAGAGAATACGGAATTACCGAGGGATGAAAATTTAGATAGATAATATTTTTATTAACAAGTACGTTGTTAATGTGATGAAAGTTCGGAAATATGAATTTTTTTAGTTTCAAATATATGAAAAATCAAATTGTTTCAAATTCTTCTCGTTTGCTGCGCTAACTCGAGCGATTTTTATAAAAAAATTATCTAAAATTTAAAATAATCTTGACATTTTACTCAAGAATATTTTTCTTTCATCGGCTCAACGGTCCAACGCTAGGGGCTGGGGGACTCCAGAAATGGCCCTTTGCGTTCAGTACTAAAGAAACGTAACCGTAAGCGAATTCTGAGTCGGTATCTGGACTCTGGGTACTCGGACCACTCGGTAAATCGGACGCTCACGTACGAATTCGGAACCGGATGATTATTACGAATATTGCATTCATCCGATTCCGTACAATCCGAATATCAGGATCATCCGAACATTTCCAACGCTAGTTGTCACTACTAATCACAGACCACACACTTTAGACAAGAAAGTCTTATGGAGAGAGCGCAAACAAAATTTCAGTGGTTTGCGTCTCTACTAAATGTTACTCTGGCGTCCGATATGGGGCGCTGTTGCTAATTAAAATTGCACAGTGAGCGATACGCATGTCGATTTTGGTTGATGAATCATTTTAAACAAGCAAATTTGGAGAAAGTTCTACTGAACGGTATTTTGTCTTTTCGTCTTGTGATTTCGTTTTGAACACTTGAACTTTCGAATTCTAAGCTTTCTTGAGTTTACATTCTACAAGCAGATAATAGTTTTGCACTCGTATTTGGTATATTTTGGTAAGTTATAATTATCATAATACTTGACAAGAGAAACCGAACACATAGAAAAACTACTTTTTTGACTAATACATATATACAATGGTATACAGGGTGTCCCAGAATTCGCGCCATTCCCGTGAATGACATGTTCCCTGTCCCGAACTGTGCCGTAATTCGCAAAAAGAATTGTCCAGGCTTTAACCGTGTGAGAACTGGAAGGCGATTAAGTTGACCAATAGAGAGGCTGCTTTTATATCCGAACGTTTCTATCACGGACTAAAATATGAAGGACATTGTACTGTGTAGTTCGGATGGCTCCGTTTTATTTCCGTGGTGGCGCTGCGTGTTACTAGCCCTTGTTTTCCATTGAAGTAAAGCGGTGTTATTATTGTTTCACCAAATATTTTTAATATATGACAAAAACTTGGTAATTCTTATTAACCACAGTTAATAAAAGATGTATCAGGCAATTAATGGAAAGTGACAAACGAAGATGACGACAAGAAGTGGCAGTGGTTTGTACAGGTTACAAAGGTGAAACAGGTAAATTTTCGTTATTTCGTGCTCCACATGATGAAAATCTATTATCTGATAAAGAAAAATACCTAGAGGAGATCTCACATCCCATGACGTTGTGTGTGAAAGACATTTTACTTCGCCAGAGATAATTAAGGAATGGAAGTCTGGTTCGGTAAGTACATTAGATGAACGTATTGAGTACCTAATGCTTACATTTCAGATTTAAATTCCGTATAAGCGTCCAAAATTAAAACATGGGGCAATACCAACAATATTTCCCAATTGTCCTGGTTATTTGACAACAACAGTATCGAAAAGGAGGATAATCGAAAGACATGAAATTCCATCGGAAAGGGCAAAAATGGAGCATCTTGAAAATTTGGAACCTGTAGATAATTAATCAAAGACCTAGACGTAATTAAAAACCCTTTTAAGCATTTGTTGGATGTAAATATACCATTTCGATTGCCTTCTTTTTGTGAGGTTACCACATACATAGAGGGTGACACTAAAAATGTAATGTTTTCAAAAACAGTTATCAAAACACAAAAGCCAAACGTGCAACATGTTTTAGTGAATGAAAATTTTCAGTTAAATTTTTTTGTAAATCGGGTGGAAGTGAATATCGAATGTAACCTTGAACAGATTCGAAGGAATGTGAATTTGTTTGAGGACACCTTGGAGAAATTTATGTCATCAGACATTTGCATTGGCGGAAATCTCAGCCTTTAAAAAAACAAGTTAAATTACGTAGTACTTAGCTTTGAACTAGCAGATTCCTGAAATGTGTCTTTAAAGTGTATATTTTTTAATTTGTGTGACATAAAATTGTGACCTTTTCCACTTGCACTGAAGTTGAGGAACGTCATATTTTTTAGAAGAATATTTGAGACGCAGTATCTTTTAATTAACAAAATAGTTCCAAAAAGGATTCACATTGCTAGCATTAAATGCACTTTTTACTTGTTCTAAATTAAAAAGTAACCTTAAACTATAAATTAGAATTTTATTTATTGCAAACCAGACAACTTTTACGCCTGATAAGGTTTTTATATCTTTTTTGAATTAAATTAATTAAAAAAAACGTTCAAATTTCCATAAGCTTCCATATTAAACTAGGGCTTGTGTTCGGTGGCGCCTCTAGCGGTCGCGCCAAAAATAACGGAAACTAAATGGAGCCACGTTTTTAACGCCGTGGGATTGACAGTCATTTGTCCTTCTTATCTAGGTCCGTGGTTTCTATGTTCAAAGTTACCTATGCCAAGAACAAAAAATCGGGTAATACTAAAGTTGAATGAATTTTTTTCGAATCCCCCTCCGTCAACAAAAGGAAACAGAAGTGTGGTTATAAATTTAATCATTTTGACAATTGTTTGTCATAAACTGTCACGAAGTTCATCACTGACCTGAACAGACGCTTCTGCCCCCAAAGATGACTGATTAATGTACACAGAGACGTCAAGGTTTACTTTAAGGCAAGTAGCATGGCACAGAAGTTATTTCTGCTGCCATTCTAGTTAAATTGTGTTTAACTGGGCTGTACATGTCATAAGAGAAGCTGTTTCATTTCATCGTAGGCAAATAATACATTTATTACTATTCTACATAGAGTAGCTACCGAAGAGCAGGTATTAGAAGTGATTTTCTTAGAGCCCCGTGAATAATGTGTTGTTCTTTTTAACGAAAATTAGTACATTTTCAGAATGCATCATATGCCTGATATTAAGTTTATCGTTATTTCTAAAAAAGAGTACCACATGTCCATTCAAAGAACGTTATTAAGTGTATTTAAACATAAATATCGCTTTTGATTAATCAGTGATTATGATTTTCAATAAACAGTATCAATTTTTACTGAACAGCTTTGTTGCTGATACCTAATCTAAGCAACGAAAAAATAGACGAGACTCCACTTCTCTGGTGTATTAAGATCATAGGTATCTGCTGTGGTGTCAATCATGTGGGGGAGATACTGAAAACTGAGACTTATTCAAGAATAATATTGATGTTGCACATGATGATTTAAGACAGTTTCTTTAAAGTTGTGAGTACATACTTTCTAGAGATTGAAAAGATACGAATAAAAATTATAACAATAGTTGCAATTTTTTTTAAGAACAATACAAACAATTTATGGAGAATGTACACGCTATGCAGCCACTGCTGTGCGCGAATATACAGGTCTTTTCCCCAATCATCGGCTCCTTGACCAGCATGTGTTTCGTCGTTTGTTGCATCCAGCAAAAGAAGATGGATCTTTTCAGCCTATGCGGAAAGCCGTGCTGGGGCTCCACGGATTATACGCATAGACGGTGAAGAACAAGTGGCACAAATGATTGGATGCTCAAGATCGATCATGCATCGTATCCTTACAGAGAAAAATCTGCATCCTTACTATTGACGAAAGTGCAGCATCTGCGACGAGCCGACTGCGCGACGAGTGCATGTTGCTATATGGTTACTGCGACAAAATGAACTAAATCCTGATTTTTCACGGCACATTCTTTTCGCCGACGAATGTTGATTTTCCCGAAAAGGAATATTTAATGCGCACAATTCACTTCTGGGCAAACGAAAATCCACATTTCGCTAACGTGAGAGCATATCAAGAGCAATACTATTAATCTATGGGCTGGAATCGTTGTACTGTAACGTTATTAAACAATGTGCTCAAAATGACCACCATTAACTTCAATGCAAGTTCTAGCTCGTTGAATTATGTTGTGTTGTGTATTATGTAACATCTCAGGAGTAACTGTAGCGTAGGCTTCGTGCAGTCTCTCTTCCAGTTCTTCTAACATATCTAGGGGTTCTCTATATACGTAATTTTTAATTTGATTCCAAAAAAAAGTCCAAAGCAGAAAGGTCTAGAGATCTAGGAGGCCAGATATTAGTACTGCTACGCCCAATCCACCTATGACGATACTCTTTTCAATGTTCGTCGTACAAGTATCGAATTATGTGGAGGAGCGCCGTCGTGCTGAAACCACATATTCCGCCGTACATTCAAAGGAACGTCTTCCAACAATGCCGGAAGCTCTAGTCGTAGAAAATTAGCATATGCATCCCCATTAAGGCGATCAGGTAATCTGATAATTTTATCAGATGCATTAAAATTTTTACCACAGTAGTACCAATGATTCCAGCCCATAGATTAATAGTAAATCGCTCCTGATATGCTCTCACCCTAGTGAGATGTGGATTTTCGTGTGCCCAGAAATGCCAATTGTGTGCATTAAACATTCCTTCTCGGGAAAATGAACATTCGTCGGTGAAAAGAATGCGCCGTGTAAAATCAGGATTTAGTTCATTTTGTCGCAGTAACCATTGAGCAAAATGTACTCGTCGCGGGTAGTCGGTTGGTCGCAGATGCTGCACTCTCGTGTAATGGTAAGGATGCAGTCTTCTCTCTTGAAGGATACGATGAGTGGTCGATCTTGAACATCCACTAATTTGCGCTACGTAGAGGACACTTCTCCTAGGATCCGCTTCCATGTTTCCTAACACTTGCTCTTCAGCACCTACACGTACATTCCGTGGAGCCCCAGCACGGCCTTTCCGACTAGGTTGAAAAGATCTTCTCTTGCTCGATGTAACAATCGGTGAAACACATGTTGGTCTGGGTGCCGACGATTATTCACGGGGCTCTAAGAAAATGACTTCTAATACCTGCTCTTCGGTAGCTACTCTATGTAGAATAGTAATAAATGTATTATTTGCCTACGATGAAATGAAACAGCTTCTCTTATGACATGTACAGCCCAGTTAAACACAATTTAACTAGAATGGCAGCAGAAATAACTTCTGTCCCATGCTACTTGCCTTAAAGTAAACCTTGACGTCTCTGTGTACATTAATCAGTCATCTTTGGCGCAGAAGCGTCTCTTCAGGTCAGTGATAAACTTCGTGACAGTTTATGACAAACAATTGTCAAAATGATTAAATTTATAACCACACTTCTGTTTCCTTTTGTTGACGGAGGGGGATTCGGAAAAAATTCATTCAACTTTAGTATTACCCGATTTTTTGTTCTTGGCATAGGTAACTTTGAACATAGAAACGTTCGGATATAAAAGCAGCCTCTCTATTGGTCAACTTAATCGCCTTCCAGTTCTCACACGGTTAAAGCCTGGACAATTCTTTTTGCGAATTACGGCACAGTTCGGGACAGGGAACATGTCATTCACGGGAATGGCGCGAATTCTGGGACACCCTGTATATGAAAGGTGTCATCACCATATCAGTAATTTAGGCAAAAACACCTTTGCAGGTACTGAATACTGTTAGGGTAACAACTAATCATGTTGTGTGTGTTTAATACGAATTGTAAGCAAACGAGAAGACAATGTTGTAACTTGATGAAGTTATGACTCCAGTAAGGTAACAAAATGTACTTTTTTTCTATGTGTTCATTCAGGTTTGTTTTGTCATTTAGTAGATTATTTAAAAATATATCAATACCTATAGAGAATTATTTTCAGGGATTAGCGAAATGGAGGGTACGATTCAGTGGCGGCTCGTGATTCTAGAGGTTGGGGGGTCAAATAAGATTTAAAAAAGTTGATCCTAAGTTGCACTGCTTATAAAATGTTCCAGCTACAGACTGCTACTGCAGTACAACAAAAGACAAAATCAATGCATGTGATAATTCCTGGAAATGCTGTTTTGCCAGTTCGTAATCATAACACAGTCGAACAATTTTAGAAAAATTTCTTGTTACAAGCATTCTGAAAGGTTATTTTGTGCTGAATAACTATCTAATAAGACATTATGCCTACGTTGTCAAAAAAATTTTTTTTTGGAGATTGTTCTTCATAAGTAGTTCCAATTAAAGGTGTACTACTGCATAATGGGAATAAATATCTAGTACTGCCGATTGCATACTCCATGCAAACTGCAGAAACATATGAGAATATTCAACACTTGTTAAACTGTATTAACGACAAAAAGTTTGAGTGCAATTTGATAGACGATTTAAAAATTGTAGCTTTAGTAACTGGATTCCAATCTGGATATACCAAGCATATGTGCTTCTTATGCAAGTGAAATACAAGAGAGAAAGCATTTCAACATCTGAAAACAATATTTCCTAAGTTTTCTGCTGCTAACATACACCAAGGTAAAAATTAAAATATTACAGTGAATTTCAGTTTTCATATTATATGTACGTTTTCTATATTTAGGAATTTTCATTGGACCTGAAATTCGAATGAAGGATCAAATGTTCTACGCCTATTTGAATCATACGGAAAAATTTACTTGGGAATCAATTAAATAGCTTAGTGATCAGTGAATTTTTAGGAAACAAACGTTCCATAAATTATGTCTCATTTAAATTTTTTTGCTGATAATCTTTTCATCGAGAAATCAAGAAAGTCGAAGAAAGATTTAAGAGAAAGACCCAAATATCCATTCTTTCCGAATACCTGAGGCTTTTATAAAGAGTTAGATCCTTCTACATATTCTAAGCAGGTTATCTAATCGTAGACGTAATTAAATATCTGTCGACAGAAATCTGTGGAACAATTTTTTAGTGCTTCTTGCGCGTTTTTATGTAAAATTTGAATTCACTTAATTTTTCTAATTGTTCACCGGACGACAATAAAAATTTGAATATTTTTTTTTGACGACGTGGGTATATTGAGAGTTGTTCAGCACAAAATTACCTTTCCGACCATGTTTAGAAAATATATGTAACAAAACCACTGTTCCACTGTGATAATTAATCGGTTAGTGGTGGTGGTACGAAATCGGAAGCGTGCGACAGTCTTGGGCCGTCGACACCGTTGTAGGTATGCCGAGGATATTCTGTACCTTGTCTGATATGTTGAATCGCGCTAAAGCCTATCTCTGTCTTGCGTAAATGCAGTTTCCACATATCCTATCAGCCTCCATAAGCGACTGTAGAGTCGAATCTGAAATCCGACTGCACGGAAACCTCGGTCTTTTTGCGGAGTTAACATATCGCGCTTGGACGTGATCTATTCCTCGCTTAGGGTAAAAATCATCAAAAATAAATTATTAAATAATAAATGGAGTAATATGTAATAAAAAAATAATGTTTTTATTCGTAAAAATATTTGGGGGGGCATTGTCCCAACGACCTTATGGACAAGCCGCCACTGGTACGATTATTTACAAAAATAAATGTAGTGCTGCCATGACAAGGTGTCCAAAAGGCATCGTTTTCCCAAAGAGGAACAGCTGCTGAAAAAATGGATTGAAAATGTCAACGCGCCTCTTTTTAGTTCCATGGAACCAAGCGAACTCTATAACAAATATGTGTGTGATAGACATTTTTCTACCGATTTCAAAGTTCCTGGAACAAGACGGGGACTTCGTAGAGATGCTTTTCCGAATATTTGTTTATCAGCAGGTATGTACAAACAATTACAATTGTATTACAAAGTGTCATCAGTAATAAGTAATGAGCGATAAAAAATATACACTGCCGAGCATAAAATTCGGGTCACCCCGTAATTTTTTTCCGATATAACATACTCTACGAACTGATTGCTTTAAAAAAATGTTGTTGTTTCGATAAGCGTTTGACAAAAAAGGAGTCCTCCAGCCAAATTCTTAAAAACCATTATCAGCATAGTTTTTTTTGGGTGTTATCTGTCTGTCTTCGCAACATAGTGGTGCAGAAATGGAACAATCTTCCGCTGAATGTAATCCAAAATTTTATCCAAAGCATGCCTCGTCGTTTGCAAGGTGTTCTCACTGCCAGCGGAGGGAATACTCGGTACTGCAGTCCTTGAAATTTCTTTTGTTTCATCGAAAAGCATATCAGCGTAAAATTGTTCATTTTCATTACTTTCAATAGACTTTGAAGAACAGCTTTTTGTATTGCAGTTGTCCTACAAGGGAAAGAGGAAGATGACGTCCATTTGACGTCAATGGTTGAAGAAGCAGCCTCAGTAACTAGTGATTTTATTCAATCACCAGTAATCCCAAGTGAGTAAACATGAATTACATTTTTATTGAATCTAGAAATACCTACTCATTATCTGATTATTTATAACATCATTTCATTGTTACAGATGTAGAAGATGAAACTTGTTTGTCTCCTCCACAAAATAATTCGTGCACAACGCCGCCTATGAAATGTAAGTATCAGGAGGAATTTTTTAAAGAATTGTAAACTAATCAATTCATTCATACATTCAAAAAATCAACTTATGTTTGTTTCTGTCTTGCAGCATCGAGAAAACGAGGGGGCATTTTGCACAGTGTTGATGCAACCAGGCAAGCACAGTTGACACCCCGCTGCAAAAGGTTTTATTCGATGGCGTTGAATTGGTCGGTAAAACAAATGAGGATGGGAAAGAAAATAGGCAATCTCCGGATGAGATTGGCTCAAGCAGAGAAAGTTTCTCAATCTCCAGGTTTTAATTTTTTCATATTTCTAAGTTCTTCGTTACTTTTAGTTTTTTTCGACTTTAAGGACACATCCTGACATTTTGAATTAGTTTATCGCATCCTATGATAAAAATATTCAAATTCTGGACAAAAACTAGTACAAAAGGATAGTGTTCTAAAAAAATATTACATACAATTTTACTGTTTGCGCTGTTAACTTACTAGGGTCAATAAGAGTTGATGGAGTGTTTTTAGGAATTGTACAAATTTATTATCTTCTTATCTTTGTACCAAAAGTGTAATCTACAATACACTAATTAAACAGTTTTTTGCCTACGCAATATTCGTTGCAATTTAATACAGACAAATTCTAATATCTCAGCAATATTGGTTGGTGCATGATACGAATACTACTTTTGTGACAGTGTCGTGGTATAAAAAAATATTTTGACAAAGATTGTTCAATAATAAAATATAAATGGCTACCAAGCTTTTGTAGCGGAGCATGATTACACATTATTTCGCTTCAATCACATCGAATGGTACCTCTATCATCAGAATGTGATCAATTTTTGTACCACGTAATAACAGTGAGTTATAATTTGCATTTTTTTTACAATCCCAGGTAGGCATGTATACGATTGTTGCTTTTGACACAGTTGTTCACAATTAGCACCTAGGCAGTGGCTGGACAAAATTATTAACTAATAGGATCTTAAATGCAGACATAAAATAAGCTGCGTCAGAAGACGTATTATACCGTCAATGTCCACGTAAATCCGAGAAAAATGTTTCTAGGCAGCCTTGGTTAAGTGCCCTTGGTAAAAATTACTTCAATTTCTGCAGTAAACAATCTTTGAGTTGTACAAAACGTTATACCGTTTTTGCTAAATTTAAAGGCTACAGAACTTTAACATATTGGTGCTTTTTGGCATCATAAAAACGCATACCATTTACAATATCAGTAGCAGTAACACCACTTACTTTTTATAGCTTTTGCTAGAAAAGGAACTTTCTCATTGCAATTTAGGCTGTCAAACAATATGTCGAAGAACAAAAGTAAATCTCCTGTATCTGCTGCTTCTGAGGGTAAAATGTTTACTTTGCTCCATTTTGACACCTACTTATTGACTAAACACCTGAACCATGACACCTTTATTTTATGATATCTGTTAATTTTGGGCGGATTCGTACATTTTTTTTTTGTCTATTAAATAGAATGTTTTAATGTGTTCCCATTCTGCAACAGTGGAATTATCTTCAATTATTATTGATGACAAAACCACTATAGTACATCTCAGTTTTTCCTTTGAATTCATCCTTCTGATTCTTTAATTAAAGAATTGATCGCAGCCTGATTTGCAGATCTTTGACTGTTGTAACAACTTTAAGTCATATTTCCTGGCATTTTTTTAAGTTTATTTGATTTTGTAGAGGGACTACTACATGTGAAAGATAATAATACCGATGAAGCCCTCTGATCATAAAAACGTAAGCATGATCACCTAAACGTGTAGTCAATTTTCCAACATCTTCTAACACCAGTTAAACATTCATTTCGTATATAATAAGCAGTATGCGGAAATTTATCTTACGGATGCAATTCCCCAGTTGAAGCAAGGTGTGTTTTACGGTGAGTAGCGGGGACGCTTTGATCTGGTCCACAAGGTCGTCTCTAGGACTGTTTACAGCTAGTAAAAAAACTACTTCTATATTACTATATTACTTCAAATACTAATACTCGGTGCCCTTATTAATTTTTCAACCACAGGAGACACAGATTTATGATCTTGAAATGTTATATTATGTTGATATAGTCCAAAAGAAAAATATATTTGTAATCAAAATATCGACGCAGCAGCACTGGATCGAGCGTCTGAAACATAATTCCGCCTGTTGATAATAAGACAAATTTGATATTATCGTTATCTCTTTTTTATTATCAACTTTTATACAATTTATTTCACAATAAATTAGACTGTATTGATTTAATATATAGTTCTGTTTTATACTGATTTCTAGCCGTACAAACATCTCAGTTCGCTCTTCAGTTTCGGCTATGTCTAATTTATTCAACAAAATTGCACATTTATGTGATATTAATTTAGATTCTAGTTGTAGTATTTGTAATTGCATTGTAAATTTGGTTTAATGTTTAATTAGTTATAAATACTTTTGTTTTTTAAATATTTATACTTTTTAGTTGCTGTCATGAATTAGTTTAGTTAGTTTGATATTATTCCTGTAATTGGGTGTTACCTGTAGGAATAAATATTATTGTCTCTGTGATTTAATTAGATTAAGTTTTAATTAAATTGTTTCAATAAATATTATTTGTTTAACATAAAAGTTTCATTTCAATCTTCACTAAAAAATGTTCATTATGGTTCAAGCTATTGTCACCCTAACAATATTTCGGTGACAATAGCTTGAATCGTAATGAACATTTTCTACTTCACTTTCACATGCTTTTATTAATAGCGATTCCTTTAAAATTCGCGCAATTTTTGATTTAGTTGTCCCCACCTCCACTGGCGGCGCGCTATTTCTATTACCATTGGTAGTACCAGTGATGTAGTACAGTAGATTCCCATCTAAAGTGTGTGGTCTGTGCTACTAATCTGTCTACTGTCTAGTGTCTACTCTGTGCTGTCACTGCTGTCTACTGTTCATGCTCTGTCACTTGGCAGAGTTGCCAGATGCGATTTTCTGATTCCCCCACTCCGAAACTGAAATTCCCCCAAATTGAGGCCTAAATCCCAGTTTGACTTATAAGGGTGCTTTGGCTTAAGCCGCTTAAGTCATAAAAATTTTAACAGGTGTATGTCAAATAAAGTTACAGTATCTTAATACCTTCATGTAGGCAACACATTATACACATAATAAACAACTCTGTCCAACCTGTTATTGTTATTTATAATGAGTTATTTATGTATGTATTAAGGGCATAGTTAGGAGATTAAAGCAACGAGGTAATGTTTAAAGCCCAACGAAAGAAGGCTTTTAATTTCCCGAGAACCATAATGGACAATTATGCCTGTGGTACATACGTTTTATTCTATTTTAGCTTCTAAAACATTTTCAACAAAATATCACGATTTTTTAGGCTGTGTCGTCTATAAAATTTATCACACCATCGCACCTAATTTTTTCAAGAATTTTTAAAAAGTTCTAGCACACATGTGTGTAACTCCAAACATTAGTCGTTTGTCCCTATATAGCCCACTACTGGATGTAGTAAACGTAGCCAAAGAGTTGGGGTGAAGTTCTATTTTATGGAAGAGGTCCTTTACATCCAATTTAAAAAAATATTGTACCTTATTTAAGTTGGATAATAAATGCTCCATGCTGGGTAATGGGTGGTTCTCTTAGTATGGCTAAATTAGCGTGCCTCATGTTGACACCCAGTGATCCCGATTGAACCCCCATTGGGATCATTATGAATCTGATGCGATGTTCAGCCAGTGTAGCTCATATTCCTCAACGATTTGTCACCAACTTCAGCTTTTTGATTTAACAAAATTACATCACATTTACAACAGTGAATATTAATTAATTGTAATTAACGAAACAATATTAACAGAATTCTTACTATACGAAGTAACGTTCGAGCGATGAACATGAGTTGCAAAATATGTTGCAATTAAAAAAAATGTCTTGACGCCCTTGTTTACAGAATCTATCCGTTTTAACTGGGACACCTGTCATTCCATCCCCTTAAATTAAAAAAGAAGACACAACAAACGTGACTTCTTTTTGGCCAAGGTGGCAGTTCATAACAAAATTCAATTCAAATTACCATTGTTTCTGGATGTGAAACTGCAGTAAATAACATTAAAACTTGTTTCTAATTTTTGTTCGTTACTTTTTTTACATTTACATATAAACAAAATCAACATAGTTTAACTTGTTTAAAAAAAATAACAACCTTAATAAATACTCTAGTCACGTTTGGGATTGGCTGCAACTCGTAGGAGCCTTGTCAAGCATCGCAAATTCAGCTGAACACACTTGAGTGCAGTGAAAATTCTGCAAGCTCGTTATTATGCATAAATAAACCTGCTTGCATATGCTATTTATAGCATGTAGCTCAAACTTACATCTCCGTGGACTTTAGTTATTCATATCCATAAAACGAAGGATATTGACAGCATCTCTAACAATACAAAGTCATTAAAGTGTATTATTAGTTATTATTGATGGGTTATTTGAAATAAAAAATCTTCTGCTGACTTTATTGTTGTAATCATCTTGTTGAAAGTAGGAAGATGAGCTATTATAAGCTCTTTTTTTAACTTAACTAATATATACAAAATAACAAAGAAATTTTATTACATAACTCCAACTACGGATTTAAGAACTAGAAGAAAAAGCACCTTTTTATTCTGCCACTTTAATTCCGAACTTCAGAAGTACGGAAGGCATGGTATAAAAATATCAGAATTGTTGACGTACCTGTGAATTTCACAAGAAGGTTTGACATTATGCACTTTCATACAGCACAACGCTAAAAACTGATTCTGATCTTTGCCATATGAAATTGTATATCTTCCATAAAAGAAACTGCGTAGTGCCAAACGTCATTCTATAATATCTGCCTGATATTTTTGACTGCGCCAAAGTCCAATTTTCACAACAAAATTATTATAATCTAATATATACACTTATGGTGAAAAATACATCATCTTGCTGCGTTGAAAATCATAAACAGCTATATGAAACCAGTACATACAAAAACAACAACCTGAAGTCTTAAGAAGAATTCGTTTACGATTAAATTAATACATAAGTAAATAAACTACAAGAGTTGTCCTAAAACTTAAATCTAGTAAGTATTGGTCTTTTGTTTTAGAACTGATGTATGCATAAAAACAACATCTAACTGGAGTCCAATCACAGGAATTTATTAAAAAATATCATCATCGATGCTGTTGTACAAACAAATCAATTATGTCATCTTTATAAACAATAACATTCTAATGTACACAATTTGTGAAGACAATTTTCATTCTTTCATGATATAGTCGTTCGTGAAGAGTTTGTTTAATTGTTACGGGACCTACTTTGTTGCATTTTGCAGGAACTCTGTGAATAAATAACACCCAATTACTTGTATAAACATAGCCGAACAAGCTATTAGGGCAACCCTTATGAATACAATGAAAAATTCACTTCAACAAAACAGAAGTATGATTTAGGTACTTCTTCAACAAAATATCCACTAACAGTATTACAGTCACTTAATTTACATAGTCCTCTGAGCATCTTCTGAATTTGGGTGCACTAGTCGCATTCTACGCATTTTATCGTTGTTGTGTTGTGGTCGTGGGCTGTGGAGATTGACGTGCTTGTGGTGTCCCATTGTTATTATTGGTTGACGGGCTATTTCCATTGCCCGTTGACAATTTGGAAAATGCTAACAGTGTATCCGGGAAATTCGGAGGCGTCGCTGGCGTATTACATGGCGTCATCACCTGAAGCAAAAAAGGCCAACAGTCAGGGACAAAATGCGGCTATTATTGTTAGCAGACATTCCGACATTCTGGATGGCGGCCAGGAGCCCCTTGACCGAATTATGTACTTTAGCGAAGTCACTACAGAATGTACCGACACATTTCACAATACATAAGTATTTTAACAACAAGAAGTGTTTAAAGTTACAATAATTTTTATTTAAAAAAAAAACAACACTTGTTCTCTAAATGTGAAACAGTCGTGATCAGAGTCTATAGAATGTACAGTCCAACGCGGAAACTTCAATCCCGATTTTTTTTTTTTTTTTGTTATGAAACTGTCAGCCAATTTGCTTGTCATAAATTTGGCAGACTTTTAGTACAGAATAAACGATATCAGGTTTGTTTAGACAGGTTCAAATGGGTTTCATTTTAACGATAACAATGGCAACTGATCAAGATTGGATATTACAGTGGTACTCAAATTTCTGATTAAGGATAACCACAACAAACCACACACCGTATCCATTTTCAAGTAATTATAGCAGCTTTGGTTACAAAAATGTCTATTGTCTGATTTGATCGAAATTACTAGATGAACATAGGTACTTATTTTAGTGTTGAGAATTTCCATATAAACTAACTCAACACGTCAAGATTAATATTAGTCCAGGAGAATTTGTGCACATTTAATTATCGTAGTCTAAATGAATAAAACGTCAGTGTACAAAAATAAACGAGGTCAATTATGACGATTTTGATGGCACAATCAGAAAATCTAATAAAGTAATAAATCTTCAACATTAATTAATATTTGGACAACTGATAAAAATATAGATAATTTCAAGGCACTTTAATGTGACCAAACCGTAAGATGACAAATATTTTTATAAAAGTTAAACGACAATATCCAAAATTTCATTCAAATTAATAGAAACATACTCTGGTACAAAATAAGCTTATATTTATCTTTGAGGGCTGCACTAGTGCTTTGTTATCATTTCGCAACTTTATAACAGCTCTATTTATTCTAAAATACGTTATCGCCAGAGCTCGAACTGAAGCGAATAACCTGCCTTCGTTACAATTAGTGATGGTTCAAGTGCAGATTAAGTAACTAGTACTGAGCTAACGCTATGCACGTTAATAATTATTATGCAAAGTTTGCAATGCGATGATCGTTGCCTTTGATACTCAATAGTCATATGTGGTATGGAGATGGCCGGATATGCATAAATTTGGAGGAAAACTAACCATTTTTTGTGAAGCAGAGTTAGCTACGTGAAAGCTAATCATTTGGACTGGACATTCAAATGCACTATTACATTGGCGGTTTGATTGTTCATTAGCTGTTGTCCGGGTTCTGGTTGTAACCCGTACACAAAGTAGACATGGTGGAAAGAATTTCTTTTAGGAACCTTCTTGGATTTCTTGATCATCATAAGATAGCTTGTCGTTTCTCAGCGAATGAATACGAAATATTGTACTGAAGAGTTGAAACTTCTACAGAAAAAACGGTTTGTTTAAAATCTAGTTAAAACTGGGTATTTTACAATCATATCCATGCGTAGTTCGCGTCAGTTACGCTTTTCGCGAATCAATTATTTTGTTGCTTTATATTTCATTCCCTTAGATAACAGACATAACAAAAGTGTTACTGAATAGCCACAAGAAAAATTCTGTTTTAATAAATAATGAAAGAACATGAGAATTACTTTTACACAGAAATATATTTTTATGCTTTTCACTTCCAGAACAATACTTAATTGCCTTTGCACATGATACTTTCTGCATTTATGTGTCTTAATTTAATCTGTTCTTTCTTTAAGTAATAATTTGTGTGTTCAAAAAAAGTGCTATGACATATCTACAAAATTAGATCTTACAAATATGTCGTTAGTAAAAACATTTTAATTCATAAATTTTTACACTAATCATTTTCAAAATTTAAATTTTATTACTTAATTCGATTCCACAAAAAATGAGCGACAATTAGTTTTTTTTTTTATAAATATAATCGGAAGATAAAAATTTTGGTATTTAACATTTAAATGGAAGAATAAGTTCTATTAGACTGCGTCAGAGAGTTTTTCCAATAGTGTACGTTCTACGGCATATGTACAATTTTCTGCCACTACACTGTGGGACACCCTGTATGCCGCGTAAGTCAAAGAAATAAAATTTTTTCTACTTTCTGTCTTCGTTATTAACTTTTCACATATCTAAAACTCCATCTTAAAATATTTAATTTTTTCACTAATTTTCAATCATTTATAGTAGACAAGTTACGTCATTTCTCACTAATGACCCACCAGACAGTCTAATCAAACTTTACATTCGAATTATATTAAAGATGGAAAAAATGAAATTATCAGCTACGGTTTAACAACTGAACCAACACTGAATATGTAAACAAAAAAGATTCCGACAGTCTTAACTGTTTCTAATAAATTGAGCAAAATGTTTACATTTTTTAATAAAAACATTCTCAATTATCCATATTAATCAATATGAGTCATAACAACCAGTTAACTTTTAATTGTTTTCTATTGTGTTTTCGCTGTATAGCTAATAATGCTAAGATACAAAATTAAATGTCAAAGTACGACTATGACCGTAAAAGTAGGTGGAACGGAAAAATATTGACTTCTACTGAAATAGACTAGAAGAACCAACACCGGGTTTAACAAGGTCGCGTTCAGAATGTCAGACCTTACATGAATTTAGCAACAAATTATAACCTGAGATAGGTATATTATAGACATGGAAAACTGCGATCGATAGTAGACGTCATGAAAGATTCCGTGATGTTTCTAAACATAAATCATTGTTTCCAGGTCACCGTAGTAAACCGAAATGTCATCGACCTTACTCAATTAAACAAATTTTGGAAACTTTTACTGAGTAATCAATCGTATCCATAATTTAATAAATTTACATAGATTTGAGTGAGGTCGTAAACTTAAAATAATTAAAATGCGTACTAAGACTAGTCGAACGAGATCAACATACCTGTCCGAAATGTGCAGACGCACCCGGCGGACACGTAGGTAAAGCTGCATCTTGAAAAAATATACTAAGCGCTGTCTGAAACAAGAACAAAGAAAATAAATTAACAAATAGAAATTAAACATGTTGATAAAGAATTCACAAATATTGACTGGTCGGCGAATAAATTACCGATATTTAGCAAAGGTGAACGTGAAAGGTTACACGCGAAATATTGCAGAAAATAGTGACAAATTTTATGCGAAACCCAACATGGAATTAAAACGAACGCAACAATAAATTATTTTAGGAACGGAAAAATTTGAACGCTCATGTTTTCAATATCCTGCAGTACGTTTTACACTTTTTTATTTTTAAAAACTGCAAGGATACATGGTAGATCCCCCCACGATAAGCAATGTGATTTGTTTGTGATAGTCATAAAAAGATGAACTTTGTTATCCTTATCAACAAAATTAAATATTATTCACAAATACTGTACCGCAAACAGATAAAAAATCAACATTGCAACAAATTTAACATATTGTAATCTACCAAAACAAATCATAGATGAAGGTTATCAAAAATCCATAGAGATAGCTCAACGAAAATGCAGTTGTCGCACTATTCTTTTTACATGTAACAGATTACTTATAGTTCACATTCGCCTCCAAATGTAGTGATTCACTTTTTTGTTTTGCTGGTTCAATGATCTTTGATCATAGAATCGTTGACTCGAGCATGGTAAAGTAACGTTACGTAGACAAAAAAAAAAATGGTCTAAAATTGCTTAAACACAATTTCCCACGCCCCTGAAACGCATTCGACGAATGCAGATAAACCACGAAATTTGATTCTGGGAATTTTATTTTTGTTTTGATAACACCTATACCCTAAAACACAAATTGGCGTAGATTTATTAAACAACTGATAAAGAGACAAGCTCTGCAAATGCAGGAAAAAGTACAGCTACTTTTTTACTTTGTTGTTCTTTACGTTGTCAAATTGTATATGTGATTTAAGAACATCGTGATGAAAACCAACATTTGCCCAATCATCCTCACCAACAACTTGGTGATATTCATTTTACGTAGTAAAGATTATCTAAATTTTAAAAATAATATACTCCTGTACTCTTAATTTATGAATCCGCCTTGATTTTTTTTACAAACATTTTTTGTGCAACATTTGCCACGTGTTTCATGTAGCCGATATCGCGCTCGTAGGTATTTATGTGTGACAAGGGGAGTTCTGTCTATACAAATGGACACAGTATAACATTCACTACCATGAGGTGCAAAAAATCTCAAATATTTTAAAAAACCACTAAATTTGAATGAATGTTTTGTAATTTATACGACTATTTTGTTATGAATGAATCTAATGAATAGTTAAGTATAAACATGAATGAATACATATAAATTATTTTTTTTTTTACTAATTTCAACTTTTTATTATGTACAAATTGCATTTCAAGAACATATTGACGACACCAAAAGTTCCACAGCATCAAGTTAAAGATTTCTAATTAAAAAAAAAAAATAATATTGTGTTATTACACAAAACTTCCCTCGTCCTTGAAAAAAAGAGCCGGGTTAATGAAGTCGATAAATGAGAAGGTTTGTTGTCGTTTTCCACTAAAAAATCGCAGCCATGTTATCGCTTATATTATTAGGGAAATTGCAACGTTGGTGGACTTAAAAAAAAACATTCATTACACTACACATACTTAAAAAATTATTAGGAGATGTTATTGAAAAACTAAATTAGTGAACTGAGACGAACAGAGAACAGCAAAAAGAACATTTTTTTGTAAATAAATATTTCCATCGTGCGTTACAGTAGTTTCGTTATTTCTGTTCTTCATAATCGTAACATCGTGATTGTTTCAGTACGTGTTTTTGTCGTGGTTGGTAAATTTAACCCTACATATACACATATAGATGCACGTATAGTAGAGACCATGAATTACTGAACAAAAGTTACTGTCATTATAATAATGGCCACAGACCTCCTATTCACAACCCTTGATGCTTTCGACAAGCTACCCAAAAGCAGGCAAGCGTTGTAAACCGTTACTATTACAACCAACAGCAATTTATTAAAGGCTTCGAATAAACACTTGGAAAGAGAAATCAGAGGTCACTAATTCGTGGTCTCTACTATAAGCGATGGAATCTTTCGTAGATACAGTTGAAGTCTCTACGATTGATCGATCATTCGTGAAATATATCATTTATTCTTATAATTACACGTTATCTTAATCTGAAATAAAACAACAGCTTTAAAAATAAATGGTGTAATGACAACCCATGATTTACAGGCGTATTGACTAAAAAATTTCAAAATTACGTAAAAACTTGAAAAAGGAAGTTTAGCCTTATTCTTATCTACTCTTGCCCACAACAGTAACAAAAGTACGTTTTTATTTTATTTAGTTATTTTTTAAATACAAAGATAAAACGTTTGACAACTTTCTGGACGCTGTTTGATCCGTTTCTAATGTTACTGATGTTTGTTACCCAACAAGGTTTCCTATTTAAAAAAAAATTGCTCCAAATATTGATAGAATTTGTGGCATTTTTTGACTGCTAATATAAAATACTAGGTAACTCATTATTCCAGTATGGTCTTACAATTTTTTACAGACATATGAATCGTGAGCAACATAAATAGGTAAGCACACACATTCATTGTATTCACTTTGTATGCATGTCATTCACTAATTAAATTTTATTTTAAAATAAAGCATGATTAGTAGAATCTCATTAGGTAAATCGAAATTTAGACCACAAAAAAAAAACACTTTTATTGCTGTTTATATACACAAGTTATACGTCATATTACGTTATCATTTCACAATTTCCGACACGATAAGTGCTGGCTCAATGGAACAGTCAAAGATTCAATTTCCACTTTTTCTCAATTTTATTTCAAAACTGGCATTTAGAATGACAAGATTATATCATTATTAAATTTTAAACAATTGGTGATATAATTCTCGGAATTACGTTTTTAGTGATCTGAAATTCTGATATGATTATCTCATTAGCAGACTATTTATATAAATTGTATGCTCTGGCAGCTTTCAGTTTCACATCTCTTCGCCGACCCGCCCCAATCACGAAATGGGCCTTTTCATAGTAATTTGCCACACAAAACCGACCTTTTTAACGCGCAAATGGGTCTTACATCAAAAACTAAAATCAAAAACTACACCTATTATTTTCTCGTTGTACCCAAGCATTACATCTAAAAATACCGGTACATTAGTTCTCGTTTTACTGAAAGTTTATGAGAGTAGGTATTGTTTCACGACTACAAACATTTCTCGGAAACGGATGTTGTTTATTTATTACAGATTGTTTACAACAGATTTTAACATATGTTTGCGGCAGTTAGCGCATGCTGTTTAAAATAAATTCACCTTTGTACTTTATTTTGGCGGTTAACGATGTGCAGTCGCAAGATAAAAAAATCAAACAAACCGAAACGCGGACCGACGAGTGAATTGAAGAGAGTCCTGCGCTTAGAATATTCGCGAAAGCTTTTATGAATTTTTCCTGAACATCTAAAATTCGTCATAACTCTGACATGTAGCCAAAAATAATAAAACACATTTACAACACGTCTGCTGCTAAAGAAATTTGTTATTCTATTTGTTTTCGAAATTGAAATTGTGCTCTACAAAAGTTCAACGATAATATGAAACCTTTGACGGGTTACGTAAGAAAATTTATAAAGAAAAAAGTCCTTTGGAACAATGTATATTGACTGAGTTTTATTAAATGGAGAAGTTAATTAGCTGCTGCTTTAGCAACAAAAAAAATCAAGTCATACTCGTTAAAACCGCTACCCGTACACTTTTTTTTTCATATTGATAAAACTTTAGAACCTAAATGTTACAGGATCCTGAATCGAAGCCAGGCAACTCTCAAACGCTAAACAAGATCGTATATTTATGCTCTACTCCTACTCTACAATGAATTAAGCCGAAATATAGATGGTTTTATATTCCCTAATGAATAAAAGAACTACTAAATTTTGCAAATTAATTCGTCAAGAACAACTGTTCCATTGACGTGGAAAAACATTTCTGGGCAATCGTAAGATTTTAGAGTATTAAAGTTGCTTACGTTCCCAAAAAAATGTACCTGAGCATGATAGCTATGTATGAGCTGTATCTTGAAATTTTTAAAAATCTCCCTGATAACATTGGAACTAGTTATTCCTTGAAGTTCCTATAGAGAGTCACTTTTATAATGAACGGAAATTAAAATGTATGTAGTAGGTATAATTAATAATTACATATATGCATTTCTGCCTTATTTTGCATGTTTGAAGTGTACTATGCACTTATTGTGGGCTAAGGTAGAAATAGATTATTATTATAGAGCCACCAGTGCCCCAGAAAGTACCGTTATTCTATCATTACGGGTGCTTAGACCAAGTAATGATATGCATATATGCACTGACGAAATTGCCAACAAAATGAAACGACTTTCAAGATCTTAAAATTACAACATTGCGTCGCATAACTCTTTAAATAGTGACCTACACTACTCTAAATCAGTTGTGCTAACCAACTCTGATCAACATGATTAGTCTGTAACTTATTAAGTTATTAATATGATTATTACTTGCTGATAAACGGGGAATTCACCTTTTATAATTAATTATTGGAATTCATGTTGTTGTTATCGTCTATATTCGTGGAAACAAACTTACAGTATTAGCAGTGCGTTAGATATAAAACCCGTTCTTATTCCCACCTGAAGAATGACTAACCTACTGTCTTTAGAAATCTGAAAGCGCGTTTTTTTTTTGTTCTTTATAAAGTATAGTACCTAGTTATTTGTTTCTAAAAATTGAATTTTGTATTAAGATGGATGTACACATCACCGAATCAGAACAAGAAAAGCCGATATTTCATGTTTTATAGAACAACATGATATTGAAGTGCCCCAAGGATAATCAACAAAAGCAGACTTCTGGAAATTATTAAAACTTATCGACATCCTATGTGGTTGAGGACACTACGACACAAAATAACTATGTATTACGGTTGCCGCCGTACTACCGTGGCTCAATCCTATACA